TAAAAATTTAATTTCAATTCCTGGGAAAAAATCATTTATTTAAAAAAATTATTTTTTAAATTCTTTGGAAGAATTTAATATTCTTTACAAAGTAGTTTTTTGAAAGAATTTAATTATGTCGACAAATAACAAAATTATTCCCGAAAATTCAATTATTTTGAAGCATTTTAATAAAATTCTTTGCAAAATTCAATTATTTTCATAAATAACAATATTCGTTACAAGAATTTCATTTTTTTTAAAAGTAATAAATTTTTTCTTGGAAATTCAATTATTTTCATAAGTAATAAAATGCTTTTTAGAAATTCAATTATTTGAAAAAAAACTTAATAAAATACCACACAGACATTCAAGTATTCTCAAAAATTTTAATAGAATTCTTTGTAAAATTTAATTCATAAATAATAAAATTCTTCTCAGTCCTGAATTCAATTGTTTTTGAAAATTTTAATAAAATTCTTTGCAACTATTCAATTATTTTCACAAATAATAAAATTTATCGCAGAATTTCAATTATTTTTAACACAATTTCACAGGAATCACTCAAAAAATTTAATAATTATTCTTTAAAATTTAAGTTCAGTTCCTCGAAAAAATCAATTAGTTGAAAAAAATTTTCTTAATTTTTTTGTAAAATTCAATTATTTACAAAAAATATTCGAATTTTGCACATGAATTCAATTATTTTAAAATATTTTAATAAAATCCTTATCAAGAATTCAGTTATTTACATAAATAATTCTTCAAATGAATTCAATTGTGCCGATAAATAACAAAATTATTCCCGAAAAATAAATTATTTTGAGGCATTTTACTAAAATTCTTTGCAAAATTCAATTATTTTCATAAATAACAATGTTTATCACAAGAATTCAATTATTTTTAAAAGTAATAGATTTCTTTTGGAAATTCAATTATTTAAACAAAATTTTGAATAAAATCGTTCGCAAGAATTCAATTATATTCATAAATAATAAAATGCTATTTGTGTATTCAAATATTTGAAAAAAAAATTAATAAAATACCACACAGACATTCAAGTATTCTCAAAAATTTTAATAGAATTCTTTGTAAAATTTAATTATTTTAAAAAACTTTTCTCAATTCAAAGACTTTTAATATCTACTATTTTTATTAAATTTCTAAACAGAATTCAATTATTTCAAAATATTTTTTTAAATTCTTCGTAAGAATTCAATTATTTAAAATAGAATTTGCATAAATTTTTTCAAAAAAAATCAAATGTTTTAAAATTTGGCATTAATTTCTTTTCAGTAATTGAATAATTTTTATAAATTTTCAAATTTTTTTCAGGGATTTAATTATTTTCATAAATAATAAAATCATTTCGGAGGAAGCCAATTATTTTCATAAATAACAATACTCAGCACAAGAATTCAATTATTTTCAAAAATAATAAATTCATAAAAATTGATTTAAAAATTAATTTCAGTTAAAGTTTTACATGATAATTGAATTTTGTAAAGGTTTCAAATTAAAATCTTTGAAAATTTGAATTTTTCATACTTTTAATTAAAAATGTTATGGAACTAATTTTTTTCACAATGCTTAATCGAAATTTTGTCAAGTTATTTTCTTTTATTTCGTAAAATTGAATTGTAAACAAATGGATTTGAAAATACTCAAAAGAACTTTTTCAAAAATTATTAAAAATAATTAATTTAAAGATCAATTCTATTTGAAAATTGTAGAAAATAATAATTGAATTGAAATGAGGAAAATAATTTTAATGAAGTTACAGTAACTATTAATTGAATATTTGAATTCAGCGTCCTCAAAAGCGCATTGGAATGCCAAGTTTTGTTCAAATTAGACAATTTTGAGAAATCGTCAAAGGTGCCCATACAACTGAATCAAAAATGTTTTTTGGGCCAATCGAATAAATTATCAAAATTTTACTAAATTTTACTCGTCGACGAAATGAATTTAGTTTCTTTGCGAATAGTTAACTGAGGTCTCTAATCTTCCATAGATATGCATATGACCGCATAATATCTACTCGGGTACAAGTTATGAGGCCAAAACAAGACGCATGAATTTCCCATAGAAATTATTACTTAGAATATTTATTATACAAAATTTTATAAAACGGAATTTTCATAAGAAATTAAAAAATTTTGATTTTAAATTAACGCGAATTTTTACAATAAGTAACAATTTTACTCAACAGGATATGAGATGGCCGAATTTATATTTAACAGAATTTTCAATTCATTAAAATTCAATTATTCAACAAAAAAATTAATAAAATTCTACCCAAACATTTAATTATTTTCATAAATAATAACAATTTCCCAGGGATTTAATTATTTACAATTTTTTTTTTAATTTCTTCACAATAATTCCATTACTTTTGTAAATAATACAACTCATGGCAGAATTTCAATTATTTTCAGTAGAATTTTAGGAAATCTTCGATTATTCAATAAATTTTTATTTTGCATTCAAAGAATTAAACTCTCCTAGAATTTTCTGACGATAAAAAAAATTGAATTTTGAAAAAGTTACAAGGAATTGCAGAAATTCAATTATTTTTAAAAGTTGTAAAATTCTGCGCAGAAATTCAATTATTATGTTCAAATTTAAGAAAATTCTCGTCAAAATTTCAATTATCTTTATCAATAACAAAATTTTTCTCCTAATTCAATTATCTTCAATCATTTCATAAAAATTCTTTGCAGAATTTCAATTATTTCAAAAATTTTTTCTCATTTCAATGATTTTCAATAACTACTATTCTAATAAAATTTTCCAAAAGAATTCAATTATTTAAAAAAGAAATTGAATAAAATTCTACGCAAACATTTAATTATTTTTGTAAGCAATATTAAATGATTCAAAGGAATTCAATTATTTATAAATTTCTTCGCAATAATTCAATTATTTTCATAAATAATATAATTTTGCCAAGGATTCAATTATTATTAAACATTTTATTAAAATTCTCAGCAAAATTTTAATTATTTTCATAAATTAATAAGAATTTTACAGAAATTCAATTATTTACAAATTTAAAAAAAAAACTTTTCGGAATTCCATTATTTTCAAAAATTTTAATAAAATTCATGGCTAAATTTTAATTATTTTCAAAAACTTTCCTCAATTTAATGATTTTCTATATCTGCTATTTTAATAAAATTTTCAAAGAAGAATTTAATTATTTAAAATAGAATTTGCTTAAATTTTTTCAAAAAAATGAAATGTTTTAAAATTTGGCATTAAATTCTTCGCAGTAATTCAATTATTTTCATAAATTATAAAATTCTTTTCATGGATTTAATTATTTTCATAAATAATAAAATCATTCGGAGGAAGTCAATTATTTTTATAAATATCAATATTCATCACAAAAGAATTAAATTAATTTCAATTAAGTAATAAAATTCAATTATTTTCAAAAATTTTAATAAAATTCATTGCAAAATTTCAATTATTTTCAAAAATTTTTCTTAATTCAACAATTTGTATAGGTATCTATTATTTTAATAAAATTTCCCAAATAATTCAATTATTTAAAAACAATTTTGACAAAGTTCTACACAAATATTCAATTATTTTCTAAAGTAATGAGAATTTCACAGGAATTTAATTATTACAAATATAGCATAAATTTTTTCGAAAAAAATCAGTTGTTTAAAACTTTTTTATAAAATTCTTCCCAATAATTCAATTATTTTTATAAATAATGTAACTCATTGCAGAATTTCAATTATTTTTTATACAATTTTGATCGTATTTCTTGGGATATGTAATTTATTCTTAAAAATGTTATTAAAATTCGTCAAAGGAATTCAATTATTCAATTATTTTTCAATTATTTAACAATTTGTCGATTAAATTCTTAATGAGAATTCAATTTTAAGATATAATCTGTTATTTCATAAATTATTTATTTTTGTATTTAAATAATTTAATTCTTGTAGAACTTTCTAATAAGAATTAATTTAAAAATTAATTTCACTTAAAATTATTATAACTATTTTTAAATTTAATTGACTTTTTCAAGAATTCTAACTAAAAGTTTAAAAAATAATTGACTTTCATAAAAATTTTTGAATTTAAATTATTACCAGAATAAGAAAAAAAGTGAATATTTTTTGTGAAAATCAGGGAAACACAGAATCAAATTTTTTGTGGATTTTGTGAATCGAGTGAAATGAGTTTTTTTTGTCGTCAAATTTAATTTTTCGATAGCCACTTTTTTTACTGCTTTTTTCAGTCTGAAAGATACTTTTTGCTACTTTTTTTAATATTTATTACTGAGTGCCAAGCCTGTTAATGTTAAAACCCATTTTTTGAACTTTTAAACCCAAATTAAATATTTTAATCTTGAATTTCATTTTTTACAATCAAATTTTAGTTTTATCAACAAAAAGTTATTTGATCGAAAATGAAATTATTAATTGAAAGAGTTTTCTTTGTGCGATTATTATAATTTGAGTTTGAAATAATTGTAATGATACATGGATGTTAAAATTCGGTTGTAAGGGTTTCAAGCTCTGAGCCCCGAAACCTTAAAAAGAATCGAGCCTAGAGTCACCTACCTCGCTACATATGCGTGGATGGTGCTACAGGAACTCGAACAGTAAACCATCAAACTTATGCCCTGGCTTAAATTCCATATTTAATTCAGGTACCGAGTGTTGATACATCATTTTTAAAATATTAAAAATAATTTATTTAAAGAAGTATTTTAGTTAAAAATTCTAGAAATTAATAATTGAATTGAAATTAAAATAATTTTGATGAAGTTACAGTAAAAATGTTCTTATAACATAAAATAGTGATTTTGTCACTCGGTCATTTTTAATTATTAGAAAACATGAAGAAATCGATGACTCCGAGTCGAAGACTCGGAGTGATCGATATCTTCATGTTTGCTAATAATTAAAAATTTATTTTGTAGTTTTAAGTAAAATACATCTAAATTGATTGTCATTTTTTTGTGCCTATTTCTTATGTCATATATATTTTTCCAGTAAAATCGGAATTTATTGATGATGAATCGCTGGGTGAGGTTCAATCGCAAAAATTGGCCGAAGAAACGCCAAGTCCACATCTACAAGATCATCAATATGGACAAACGCCTTGTTATCAAATGACAAGAAGGCCTGCACAGCCACCTCCTCGAACGGAGGTACATTTACTATTTTCAAAAATTTATCTTATTGCTAAAATTAAAAAAAAAATTCTCTTCATCAGCTAAATTTAAAATTTTTTTAAACCAAAAATTATGTTTAGAAATATTTTCTAAATTCTAATAGCTAGCTGTTTATTTATTTTAATTTTGATTTACTATTTTCAGATGTCAGTACAAGCTGTTAAACGAAGACTTAATTTAGAAATGGCAACCACAACTCCCAATCACTCTGCATTTAAAACTCCTCGGGGTAAACGCAGGCGAACTGGTTCTAACTCATTAGGAGCACACACACCAACTAAAAGTAAGTTAGACGTTATTAAATAATTGAAGCCAACAATTTTTAGGGTCCCGATCAAAGAACCGGTTACAATTTTTTTAAGACTTCAAATTCTCGACTTCTAATTAGGAAAAGACGGTTTTTTAATTTTTATTTCTTGTAAGAATGTTTTATTTATATAAAGATTACGAGAGGTTATTTCCAAATTTAATTAAAATTTTTTATTCATAGGACAATAATTTTTAGTTTAAAAATTGAATTCGGTTCTTTGATCTGGACCTTAAATTTAACAGGCTTCGCACTTATCTACAAAAACCTACTATTTACTACTTTTTTACATTATGCTACTATTTGGAAACTTTTTTTAAATTTCAGCAACTAAAGGTTACTATTTATGTTTTTTCTTGAGAATTTTCCTCTACTTTAAATTCGCTAATACTAGAAATCAAAAAACTATTCTTAAAAATTACAATCAAATTCTTTAAAACGATTCAATTATTTTCAAAAAATATTCGAAATTCAATTATTTTCAATATCTAGTATTTTCATGAAATTTCGCAAAAGAATTCAATTTAAAAAAAAAATTTATAACATTCTTCCAAAATTCAATTATTTCTATAAATTATAAACATGAATTCAATTACTTTCATAAATAATAAAACTCATCAAAGAATTTCAATTATTTTTAATACTATTTTAAATTAATTAATCAAAAAATTCAATTATTTTCACAAATAAAGTTTTCCACAAGAATTAAATTATTTAAACTAAGATTTTCGATAAATTTATTATATTTCGAAAAAATTAATTACTTAAAACAATGTTTATAAAATTCTTATGAAGAATTCAAATATTTTCAAAAATTACAAAATTTTTCACAGCAATTCAATTCTTTGTAAACGTTTAAATAATATTTTTTTTTGCAATAATTCAATTATTTACAGAAATTTAATAAAATTCGTGACAAGAATTCAATTATTTTCAGAATTAATGAAATTCATTGCAGGATTTCGATTATTTCTAATACAATTTTATAGGAAAATGCTCAAGAAATGTAATTATTTACATAATTAATTCTTCAAAAAAATTCAATTACGTCGATAAATAACAAAATTATTCCTGAAAATTCAATTATTTTGAGACACTTTAATAAAATTCTTTGCAATATTCAATTATTTTCATAAATAACAATATTCATTACAAAAATTCAATTTTCTTTAAACATTTTAATAAAATTTTTGTCAATAATTCAATTATTTTCATAAATAATAAAATTCTTGTCAGGAATTAAATTATTTTTGAGGCATTTTAATAAAATTTTTTGCAACTATTCAATTATTTTCATAAATAATAAAATTCATCGCAGGTTTTCAATTATTTTTAATACAATTTTACAGGAATTGCTCAAGAAATGTAATTATTTTTAAAAATTTAATTTCAAATTCCTCGAAAATATCAGTTATTTAAAAAATGTTTTTTTTAAATTCTTTGAAGGAATTCAATAATTTACAAAAATATTAGAATTTTTTACAGGAAGTGAATTATTTTTAAATATTTTAATAAAATTTGTTCGAAAAAAATTATTTATTTTAAACACAATTTCAATTAATTTTTTTTGAAATAATTCAATTATTCTTTTAGATTTTAATAAAATTCTTCCCAAGAATTCAATTATTTCCATAAATAATTCTTCGAAAAAATTCAATTATTAAAGATAAATAACAAAATTATTCCCGAAAATTCAATTATTTTGAGACATTTTAATAAAATTCTTTGCAAAATTCAATTATTTTTAAAAGTAATAAATTTCTTCTTGGAAATTCAATTATTTTTTTAACTTTTAAACTAATTGTCGCTCCTAAATTTTTTCAACGGATTTTTATTTCTTATAGTTTTAATTGTATGCTGAGATTTTTAAAAAATTTTTGATAGGTTCAGAACATTAATAAAAAACAAATTGATTGTAAACAATTAATTAAATAATTATTAAAAAAATTAATTTTTCAAAATTTTCTGATTCTAAACAAAAGTATATTTTATTCCCTTTGTATTCTCGCTTGGTTCAATTAAATCGGTACCTTCATTTAAGAGAAATTAAATTTTGTTTAAAATATTGCAAAAAAATTCATTTTGCAATAACTTTTATAAAAAAAAAAATTTTTTTTTGTCATTAAAAAAAAGTCAGAAAAATAAAAAATAGAATTAAATTTTTGTCAGTTTTGTAAAGTGTCTGAAACGAGTTATTTGGTCTTCATGTTTTTAATTTTGATATTTACTAATTGAATATTCGTTAAAATTGAATTCTCATAAAGAATGTTATCAAGAAATTTTTAAATAATTGAATTCTTTTGACGAATTTTAATAAATTTTTTATAATTACATTTTTCGAGGAATTTGATTAAAATTGTATCAAAAATAATTAAAATCCTGACATGAGTTTTATTATTTATATGAAAAAAATTTAAATTTTCCCAAGAATTTTATTAATTAATTTTTCTAAAATAATTGAATTTCGGAGAAGAATTTTATTATTTATAAAGATACTTGTAATTTTAACAAGAATTTTTTTTTTATTTTTGAACATAATTGAATTTCTGCGAAGAGTTTTATTACTTTTCAAAATAATTGAATTACTTAAAAGAAATTTATTAAAAATTTTGTAAATAATTGAATTTCTGTGAAATTTTGCCAAGAATTTTATTAAAATTTTTAAAAATAATTGAATTTCGAAGAAGAATTTTTTTTAAAAGATAATTGAAATTTTGAGGAGAATTTTTTAAAAAAAGTTTGAAAATAATTGAATTTCTGGAATCTATTGTAACTTTTCCAAAATTCAATTTTTTAAATATTTTTAATTAAAATTTTTCTATAAATCTAGTATTTATGAAAATTGTAAAAATTATTCATTAAATAATTTATAAGTCATAATTTTATGATGAAAATGAAGAAATTGAGAAGCAATTGATTTGCAATATTCGAATATGTTTGTTTCAGGTAAAACTATAGAGAGGACACGATACGACACATCACTAAGTTTACTTACCAAAAAATTTATAAATCTAGTTGAGAACAGTCCAGACGGTGTTGTTGATTTAAATATTGCCTCCGAGAAGCTGGAAGTTCAAAAGCGGCGTATATATGACATTACAAATGTATTAGAGGGTATAGGAATTTTAGAGAAAAAAAGTAAAAACAATATTCAATGGAAGTGAGTAAACAATTATTTCATTACTTTTACTTTTCATTCTTTTTTTTTTTCTAATATTTCTACCATAAAGTACAATTTTCCAACAATATGAAAAGCAAATTTCGGTTTCGATTTCGAAAAGCAAAATCTACTCGTCGAAATTCAAACATTGCAATCAATTAATTTCTTTAAATTTTTTTTTTTTTAGAGTCTTTTGCGAATAAAAATTTGTAAACAAGTGTAATTTCTATTAAAAAAATCTTAACTTTTTTTAATTTACTCTAGAATATCTAGAAAAAAAAATAATAAAACAAACGTTTGTTTCCTCAGAGGTGGACAGCTGCCCGGGGAAAAGAACGACGTAATGGATTTAAGGAGAGAAATTGAAGATCTAGAAGCGAAAGAAAACGCTCTGGATCGATTAATAGACGGAGCGGAGAAAACCCTTAGAGAATTGGGTGTTGAGAAGCAGTTTGCTTATGTGACGTATCACGACTTGAGATCCGTAACCGCGTATAAGGATCAAGCAATCATGGCCGTCAAAGCACCTCCAGAAGCGACTCTTCATGTTCCACAACCAATTCCCAACTACGGACCACCCAAGGTAACGACTGTTATATTTTTACCTTTCAGGGTTGCCACGCAACCTGGAAACCTGGAAAACCTGCAAATGTCAGGGAATTTTATAAACCTTGAAAAAACCTGGAAAAGTCGGGGAATTTTCATCAGAATCCTGGAAAATTATAGTTTTCTAAAATTATTCTGCTTATTCTTGAAATCTAATTTTTCTTAAATATCTCAAAATTAATTGAATTTTAAAAGAGTTGCGTTTACAATTTTTCTTCGCAATAATTCAATTTTCCAAAAGAATTCCATTATTATTAAAAAAAATTTGAATAAAATTCTACGCAAACATTCAATTATTTTCATAAATAATAAAAATTTCTCAGGAATTCTATTATTTACCAATTTCTTCGCAATAATTCAATTATTTTCATAAATAATCAAAATTTTTACAGAGATTCAATTATTTTCATAAATATTAAAGAACTTTATAGGTTTTTAATTATTTTCATAAATAATAAAACTAATCGCGGAAATTTCAATTATTTTTAATACAAATTTTGATGGAATTTCTCGAAAAAAGTAACTATTCTCCAAAATTCAATTATTTTCAAAAATTTTATAAAATTCTTGCCAAAATTTCAATTATTTTCAAAAACTTTTCTCAATTCAATCAAATTTTTTTACACAGATTCAATTATAACAATTTTAATCGAATTTCTCGAAAAATGAAATTATTCTTAAAAATGTTATTGAAATTCCTCAAAAGAATTTTAATTACCTATTTAAAAATTTATTGATAAAATTCATAAAATGAGAATTCAATTTTAAAAACCATTCAATTGTTCAATAAATTATTTATTTTTGTCTTTGAATAAATGAATTCTAGTATTCTCGTCAAAATTTCAATTATCTTTAGAAATAATTCAACTCTTCTCTAAAATTCAATTATTTACAAAAATTTTAATAAAATTCGTGGCAAAATTTCAATTATTTTCAATAATTTTCCTCAATCAATGATTTTCAATATTTACTATTTTAATAAAATTGTGGCCAAAAGAATTCAATTATTAAAAAAATTTAATAAAATTCTACGCAAACCTTTAATTATTTTCATAAATTAATAAAAATTTCACAGGAATTCAATTATTTGAAATTTTTTTTATAAATTTCTTCGCAATCATTAAATTATTTTCATAAATAATTAAATTTTTACAGGGATTCAATTATTTTCGTAAATAATAAAATTCTTTTTAGGAATTTAATTATTTTCATTAAATAATAAAAATAAAACTCATTGCAGAATTTCAATTATTTTTTAATACAATAATTTTAATCGAATGCCTCGAAAAATATAATTATTCTTACAAATTGTATTAAAATTCATCAAAAGAATTCAATTATTAAAAAATATATTTATAAAATTCTTTATGAGAATTCAGTTTCAAAAATATGCAATTATTCAATAAATATTTTTTTTGTATTTAAATAATTGAATTCTAGTAGAGTTTTCTGATAAAAATTGATTTAAATATGGATTTTAGTTAAAATTTTAGATTATAATTGAATATTAAAAGTATTAGAGCGCGAATTTTTAGAAATAATTGAATTTTCAAAAGGTTTCAAATTAAAATCATTGAAAATCTGAATTTTCCATATTTTTAACTAACAATTCTGTGGAATTAATTTTTTTGAGAAAGTTTAATTGCGGATTTTATTTTGAAATTATTTCAAGTTTTTATTTCCTAATATATATATTTATTTGAAGAATTTCCGAATAATTGAAATTTCACGTAAAATTGAATTATAAACAAATGGATTTGAAAATCCGCAAAGAGCTTTTTCTAAAATTATTAAAAATAATGCATTTACAGAAGAATTTAAGTTAAAAACACGAAACAAATTTTAATTTTGAAAAGTTACAAAATTATTGCAGAAATTCAATTATTGTCAAGATTAAATATTAAAGTATTAAATATTGTTAAAAATAATAAAATTCTTCTTAGGGATTACAATTATTTTCACAAATCGTAAAACTCATTGCGAAATTTTCAATTATTTTTAAGCCAATTTTAATCGAATTTCTCGAAAAATGTAATTATTCTTAAAAATTTTATAAAAATTCGGCGAAAGAATTAAATTATTTAAAAATTTGTTGATAAAATTCTTGATGGGAATTGAATTTTAAGAAACATTCATTTGTTCAATAAATTATTTAATTTTGTATTTGAATAATTGAGTTCTAGTAGAAGTTTCTAATAAAAATTTATTTAAATATGAATTTCAGTTCAAATTTTAGATAATAATTTAATATTAAACTCTCTAAATTTGAATTAGTAAAAATGTTTTCTAATTTGAATTAGTGACTAAATTTTTGCTTTTGAATTAGCAGATTTTACTAATAAATAGTCGTTTTTAATTGAATTTTGAAAAGGTTTTAAATTATAATCTTTTAATGTTTAAATTTTTCATACTTTCAACTGAAAATTGTGTAGATTTAATTTTTCTGAAAAAGTTTATTTGAATTTTTTTCAGTTATTTGAAGTTTTTATTTTTTAAATATATATTTTCGGAAGGATTTCCGAAAAATCGATGTAATTTCATAAAATTGAATTGTAAACAAACGGATTTGAAAATTTTCAAAGAAATTTTTCAAAAATTATTAAAAATAATTATAATTTAAAGAAGAATTTTAGTTAAATATTTTGGAAAACAATAATTGAATTGAAGTGATGAAAGTAATTTTGAATAAATTACAGTAACAATATTCTTATAATATAAAATAATGATTTTATCAGTCAGTCATTTTTAATTATTTATAAAACATGAAGATATCGTTTGCTCCGCGAGTCGAAGACTCGGAGTGATCGATTTCTTCATGTTTTATAACAATTTTTTATAAGTTGTTTAATTTCAAAAAGGTTCGAATTAAAAATTTTGTAAAATATAAATGTAATTTTAAAAACTTGGAAAAATTCCGTTTTTTAACCTGGAAAACCTGGAAAAGTCAGGGAATTGAAAATTTGAAAAGAGCAAAAGCGTGGCAACCCTGCCTTCCTCTATGATTATCCCTTGAAAATCATATAACAGACGTTTAAATTAATTAATTTCTTACGGAATTCCATGTTTCGAATTAATATTTATCGGGAAAGATTTAGACCGATTTTTATTCGAATTTTCGTCACATCGATTTAATGTAGATAAAATTGATCTAAAATGAAATTTATTTTTTTTTCTGCAGCTTCAAATACACATGCGATCCACGCAAGGTGAAATTGAAGTGTTCTTGTGTCCCGACGAACCAGTACCTAAACCACCTGTGGTCTATCATTCACCTACAAATCAGGCGACAACGTCAACGGCTAAAACAAGGACCTCGTCACAATTTCCTGTTTCAAATTTGTCACATTATTCGACAAGTTTGTTAGCCAATAACGGAGATATTAAGAGTGAACCACAACTCCTCTCGCCAGGGCATATTAAACGTGAAAGCAATTTAACACCTCCTTCCTCTTCTGCTGGCATGAGAGATGCTCTTCTTGGCGAGTTAAACGAATTCAACCTTGTGCCACGAAAAGTATATAACCTCCAATCAGAGGACCAGAATCAACCTTTAGGTATGTTTATGGATTATTATTTATTTTAAATTGTACTTTTATTTATTACAGTCGATCGTCGGAATCACAAATTCAGCGTTCATACTCATCTGAAAACTATGTTATGCTACTATTTGGGTATTTTTTAGATTTTAGCTACTAAACGCTACTATTTCTGTTCTTTTTTTTGAAAATTTACACTACGTTAAATTCGCTAATACTGGAAATCAAAAAGTTTATTATTCTCAAAAATGATATTCAAATTCTTTAAAACGATTCAATTATTTTCATAAATAATAAAATATCCACAGGAATTCAATAAAGTTCTCGACAAAAGTTCAATTATTTAAAATAAAATTTTCAAAATATTCATTATATTTCGAAAAAATTCATTATTTAAAACAACAATACTTTTTGCTACTTTTTTAAAAATTAATTACTGAGTGCCAAGCCTGTTAATGTTAAAACCCATTTTTTGAACTTTTAAACCCAAATTAAATATTTTATTCTTGAATTTCATTTCTTACAATCAAATTTTATTTTTATCACCAAAAAGTTATTTGATCGAAAATGAAATTATTAATTGAAAGAGTTTTCTTTCTGCGATTATTATAATTTGAGTTTTAAATAATCGTAATGATACATGGATGCTAAAATTCGGTTGTAAGGGTTTCAGTTCTGAGCCCCGAAACCTAAAAAAAGGATCGAGCCTAGAGTCACCTACCTCGCTACATATGCGTGGATGGTGCTACAGGAACTCGAACAGTAAACCATCAAACTTATGCCCTGGCTTAAATTCCATATTTAATTCAGGTACCGAGTGTTGATACATCATTTTTAAAATATTAAAAATAATTTATTTAAACAAGTATTTTAGTTCAAAATTCTAGAAATTAATAATTCAATTGAAATGAAGAAAATATTTTTAGGGTTGCTACAGGTCAGGGAATTCAGGGAAAAGTCAGGGAAAGTAAAGGTGGTTAGGGAAATCAGGGAAAAGTCAAGGATTTTTAGTAAAAGTACTGGAAAAAATTGAATTTTAAAAATTCATGAAAAAACTCTGAATTTGGATGTTTTTTTTGTTTGCCTCGTAAACTATGAAATTACCACGAATTTTAATACAAAACCTTCAATTTTTTCTATTTCAGACAATAATTTCTTTTTAAATAACTTAATTTTACCAGAACTATCATAAAATTATGACTTAGAAATTATTTAATGAATCATTTTTACAATTATCATAAATACTAGATTGATAAAAGAATTTTAGTTAAAAATACTAAAAAAAATTGAATTTTGGAAAAGTTACAAATAATTCCAGAAATTCAATTATTTTTAAAAGTAATAAAATTTTTCGCAGAAATTCAATTATATTCAAAAGTTAAAAAAAAATTCTGGTCATTTCAATTATATCTTTAAAAATAATAAAATTCTTTTCCAAAATTCAATTATGTTAAAAAATTTTTTAAAAATTCTCGTCAAACTTTCAATTATCTTTATAAATAATACAATTCTTCTTCGAAATTCAATTATTTTTAAAAACTTGAATAAAATTTTTGCTAAAATTTCACAGGAATTCAATTACTTAATATAAAAAATTTCAAAAATTTTTTCAAAAAATATCAATTATTTAAAAAGAATTTTATAAAATTCGTCGCTGGAATTCAATTATTTAAGAAAAATTTGACAAAGTTCTTTTCACGAATTCAATTATTTTTATAAACTTGAATAAAATTCGTTGGAAGAATTAAATTATTTTCAAAAGTAATAAAGTTCTTCGCAAACATTCAATTATTTACAAAAATTTTAAAAAAAATTCTTGTCAAAATTTCAATTATCTTTATAAATAATAAAATTCTTCAATATTCAATTATTTTTAAAAATCTTTTAAAAATTCTCGTTAAAATTTCAATTATCGTTATAAATAATAAAATTCTTCTTCAAAATTCAATTTTTTAAAAACTTGAATAAAATTCTTGCTAAAATTTCACAGGAATTTATTTTCAATACAATTTTAATTGAATTTTTTAAAAAATGTAATTATTTTTAACAATTTTATGAAAATTCGCCAAAAGAATTCAATTATTTTCAAAAGTAATAAAATTCGTCGCAGAAATTCAATTATTTTCAAAAATTTTAATAATATTCTTGGTAAATTTTTAATTGTTATAAAAAATTTTCCTCAACTCAATGATTTTCAATTTTTACTATTTTAATAAAATTTTCTAATTAACAATAATTATTTTTAAAAATTTTATTAAAATTCTATGCAAACATTTAATTATTTTCAATTAAACAACCTATTATTCTTCGCAATATGGTTGTAAACTAAATTTTGTTACACTTAATACTATAGTACTTATGTACGAATGGCCACTGCCCGTAAAAATATTATAAATAAATAAATAAATTTTCATGAATAAAAAAAAATTCACAGAAATTCAATTATTTACTAATTTTTTATAAATTCTTCGCAATATTTCAATTATTTTCATAAATAAAACAATTTTTTTACAAGGATTTCATTATTTTTAAAACAATTTTAATTGAATTTCAGGAAAATGTAATTATGCTTAAACATTTTATTAAAAATTCTTCTAAAGAATTCAATTTATTTTTTAAATTTTTGTTACAAATTGTTTTTACTAGAATTTAATAATTATTCACAATACATTTTTAATAAAACTTCTTGAAAGAATTTAATTCTTTTAAAAAATTTAATAAAATTCTACGTAGAAGTTCAATTACTTTTAAAAATTTTTAATAAAATTTTTTGTTAAAATTTAATAAATTTCAAAAATTTATCGAAATATTTTTAATATCTAATATTTTAATAAAATTTTTCAAAAGAAAAGCACGTGAGACAATCTGAGCGGGAGGTTTGACGTCGAGGTATAATGATGTGCACCGTCGATTATTGTCCGGTACACACCATTAGAACTCGACTGTCGATAAACCGGTTGTACTCAGAGAGGTTTTCTACAGTTTCCCTCTTCTCTGGCGAGTAAACCCATTGACGGGTGGTCCAGGCGTAATGCGAGTACTCCTAATAAAGTCGGCTGTAGACGCAAAATTAGGTTAATATATATAGAAAATTTCTAAAAGTAGAATGGTTATGCTTAATCCAAAAAAAGTATTTCTCAGGGACTCTTGTCGAAGTGCGTAAGGCCAATAGGGCAGGAGTATAAACAATAAAAAAAAAAAAAAAAAAAAAAAAAAAAAAAAAAAAAAATAATAAAACTCATCGCAGGATTTTAATTAATTTTTGATACAATATTTTAATCAAATTTCTAGAAAAATGTAATTATAAAAAATTTATTAAAATTCGTCAAAAGAATTCAATGATTTAAAAATTTGTTGATAAAATTCTTTATGAGAATTCAATTTTTGAAGAATTTTAATTCCTACGGAAAAATAATAATGATTAAATATTTATTTAAAAAAGAAATTATTGATGTTTTTGAATAATTTTACAATTAATGAAATTTGTAAATAAATGTAATAGAACATTTTTTTGAGTATCTAATAATTTTTAGAGTGAATCAGAATATTTTTTAGGGTCAGGGAAAAAGTGAGAATTTTTCCTGGAAATCAGGGAAAAATAAAATTCAATATTTGTGGCAACCGTTATTTTGGAAGAAGTTACAGTAAAAATATTCTGAGTGCTTGGCAAATAAATTGAAAAATGTTAAAATAATTTCAGAAGACGTAGGTCATCATCATCATCATAATTATCATGGACTAATGCAGAAATTCCTTTTTACCGTTCCCTGATGGAGCTCTGACTGTGACCAGTGTGTAGTAATGAGTCACATCACAGGCAGAGTTCTAGTTGGGTAGCAGTTTATTGCCGCAAAAATCACCTCGGATCGATTAATTGAAAATCAAGAATCATTAAATAATTTATTTCTTAAGAATATCTAATTTATCTATTCAACAACAAAAATATAAAATTTTCTCACATTTCTCCCTTTTTCTGTTGCAGATATGAACTTACTCGATTTTGGTGATCCCTTATTACCACTGGAGGCACCGTTTGAATATCCATTTACGTTAGGCACAGAAGAAGGTCTCTCGGATCTCTTTGATTTTGAGTTATAAACATATTGCAGGAACAATAAAAATACGTTTAATTTCCTTCGAGTTCATATCCAGGGAATTTGACGCGCTATAAACACTTGTAAACAACAACGATTTTGTACTTACCTCTAAAAAACACTGGAAACAGTTTCTATTCCGTCTCTCTCTCTCTCTCTTTCTCTCTCTCGCCCTCTCTTTCTATAATTACGTCCAATAATTAATTTAGAAGTATATTAAATTTTTTTTCGATAATTTATATTTTTAAACTATAAATGAATTTTAAATTGGAAATTTTTATTGAAGAAAACATTAAAAATACCCCAAAAAAAATAGGTTAATGAATTTAAAATTTAAATGTCTTTGTTATGTTCTAAAAAGAAAGTTTATATGATAAAAATTTAGCTGTGAAATGAATAGGAATTGAAATTTGGAAGATTGATGTTTTTTTTTGGAAAAGGAAGAAAAAACTGAAGGAAAGTGTTTTGTAAAGTAAAAGTGTTTTGTTTTAAAACTTAAATATTTTTAAATTTATATTATTAAATTAATAATCTTCGATTACTTTAATTTTTAATTGAAGATTAAGCATAATTGTTTTTATCCTAGTACAATAGTTAATAAAAAAAGAAAAAGACGTAATTTTGTTGGGAATAGTTATTGTTTCTTGGTAATAAAATATTTTGCATGACATATCAAAATGATGTTGATATGCAACTGGCGCTCGAATCCTCTAGGATTTTCTCGTAGCGAACGTTAAGGTTTTTTTTTTCACGGTGCAATTTATTGTAATTTCTTTTTTTTTATAATTAACGTTCGCAATTAAATTTGTCATCGCGTCTCAGTAACTAAAAAAAAACACACACTACCATATAATGGAAAAAAATCGAATAATTAAAATCATCAGACGGAGTCTGATTTTTTTTTCTTTATAATGTTAAATACATGACGAAATTATGTATCAATTTCTATTGGAAAAATAGAAGCAACTAGAATGATTCGATGAGATTTAAACATTCTATTATGATTAATTGATTGTAAATATATATTAAAAAGTGGAGAAAAAATTGAGAAAAATTTTGCAAATTTTCGCTCTGCAGTAACATTTAAGCATAAATAGAATTTTTTTAAAAAAATAAATATACAGTCTTGGTGCACAATATACGAAACACGATGTAGATGCCACTAACCACCTTTTATTATTATATACCTTTTGCTTATTACAGGCTTCGTACTTATCTACTAAAATCTACTATTTACTATTTTTTTTACGATTTGCTACTATTTGGATACTTTTTTTAAAATTCATAACAGTAAAAGCTACATTTTTATTTCTATATTTTCTGTTTTTTGAAAATTTTCTTTACTTTAAATTAACTAAAAGTTGCCACAGGTTAGGGAAAAGTCAGGAAAAGTAGAGTTTGTCAAGGAAATCACTGACAATTCAGGAGTTTTTATTAAAAACACTGAAAAAAATTAAATTTTTAAAATTTATAAGAAAAATTCTGAATTTTGACTTTTTTGTTTGACTTATAAACTATTAATTGAATTTTAAAAGAGTTATATTTACAAATTTTATAAATAAATGGACATCAAGAAGATTTCAATTCAAATTTTAGAAAATTTCAATTTTAAATGTACTTAGAAATTTTAGTAAACTTCGTTTTTTAAAAAATTTAATAATTCAAATTCTTCTGATATTAGTTAAATTTGTTAATTCTTATGTATTTAATTAATTATTAAAAATAATGGATTTATAGAAGAATTTTAGTTAAAAACATTTTTTAAAAAACTTGAATTTTGGAGAAGTTATAAATAATTGGAGAACTCATTCAATTATTTTCGAAGATAATTAAATTTAATTTAATTAAAATTTTCTAAAAGAATTAAATTACTTGATACAAATTTTAAAAAAATTCTACCGCAAACATTTAATTTTTTTCATAAATAATAAAAGTTTCACAGGAATTCAATTATTTACAAATTTTTTTTTATAATTTTCATCGCAATAATTCAATTATTTTCACAAATAATAATATTTTTTTGAAATTAAATGATTTTCTTAAATAATAAAACTACTTTTTTACGATTTGCTACTATGTGAATACTTTTTTTTAAATTCGTGACACTAAAAGTTATTTTTTTCTTTTTGAAAATTTGCTAAAAGTGTAGGGTTGCCTCAGGTTAGAGAAAAATCAGGGAAAGTAGATTTAAAAGTACTGGAAAAAAATTAAATTCCGAATTTTAGTGTCTTTTTTATTTGACTCATAAACTATTCATTGAATTTTAAAAGAGATGCGTTTATAAACTTTATAAAAAAATCGACTTCAAGAGGTTTCAATTTAAAATTTTATAAAATTTCAAGTTTGAATGAATTTAGTTACAAATTTTAATAAACTTCGATTTTTGAAAAAAAAATTCAAACTCTTCTGAAATTAGTTACATTTTTTTAATATGTATTTAAGTAAATATTAAAAATAATGCATTTATAGAAGAATTTTAGTTAAAAACACTAAAAAAAATTAATTTTTGAGAAGTTATGAATGGAGAAATTCAATTACTTTCAAAAGTAATTAAATTTAATTAAATTTAAATTTTGTAAAAGAATTAAATTACTTAATACAAATTTTAACAAAATTCTTCGCAAACATTTACTTATTTTAATTTTAAACATTTTAATTATTTTCTTTAATAATAAATATTTCACAGGAATTCAATTATTTTCTTAAATAATTTATTATTTGATAAAATAATTGAATTCCTGTTTTTTCTATTATTTTGAAAACAATTTTAATCGAATTTTTCGAAAAATGTAATTATTTTTAACAATTTTATTAAAACTCGTCGCAAGAATTCAATTATTTTCAAAATTAATAAAATTCTTCGCAATAATAAATTCAATTATTTTCATAAATAACACAATTTTTTACAAGGATTTCATTATTTTTAAAATGTAATTATACTTAAACATTTTATTATTTTTAAATTTTTTGTTACAAATTGTTTATTAGAATTTAATAATTATTCTCAATACATTTTTAATAAAACTTATTGAATGAATTTAATTATTTTTAAAAAATTTTAATGAAATTCTTCGCAGAACTTTAATTATGTTCAAAATTAAAAAAAATTCAATTATCTTTATAATTAATAATATTCTGCTCCGAAATTTAATTATTTTCAAACATTTTAATAAAATTCTTGTCAAAATGTCAATCATCTTTGAAAATAATTAAATTCTTCACCAAAATTCAATTATTTTCATAAATTTTAAAAAAATATCAATTATCTTTAAAAATAATAAAATTCATCTCCAAAATTAAATTATTTTCAATAATTTTTTTAAATTCTTGTCAAAATTACAATTATCTTTATAAATAATAAAATTATTCTCCGAAATTCAATTATTTTCAAACATTCTAATAAAATTCTTGTCAAAATGTCAATCATATTTAAAAATAATTAAATTCTTCTTCAAAGTTCAATAAATTTTCATAAATTTAAAAAAAAATTCTTGTCAAAATATCAATTATCTTTAAAAATAATAAAATTCATCTCCAAAATTCAATTATTTAAAAATTTTTTTAAAAATTCTTGTCAAAATGACAATTATCTGTATGAATAATTGAAATTCAATTATTTTCAAAAATTTGAATAAAATTCTACGTAGGAGTTCAATTACTTTTAAAAAATTTTTATAAAATTTTTCGTAAAAATTCAATAAATTTCAATAATTTATCAAAATATTTTCAATATCTAATATTTTAATAAAATTTTCCAAAAGACGACAATTATTATTTAAATAAAATTTTATCAAAATCGACAGAAAAAGTCAATTATTTTCATAAATAATAAAGTTTTCACAGGAATTTAATTGTTTAAATAATTTATTTATTTCAATTTAATTTCAATTATTTTTAATATAATTTTAATCGAATTCCTTGAAAAATGTAATTATTCATGAAGTAATTATTCTTTAAAATTTAATTAAAATTCGTCGAAAGAATTCAATTATTTAAAAATTAGTTGGCAAAATTCTTTGTGAGAATTCAATTTACAGAATCTTTCAATTATTCAATAAATTATTTATTTTTGTATTTGAATAATTAAATTCTCGTAGAATTTACTAATAAAAATTGATTTAAAAATAAATTTCAGATACAAGTTTTAGATAATAATTAAGTATTGAAAGCATTAAAGCCTGAATTTTGAAAAGGTTTCAATTTATAATTTTTAAAAATCTGAATTTTTCATACTTTTAACTAATTCTGAGGGATTAATTTTTCTTGATAAAGTTTAAATAAATTTTTTTAAAAAATTTTTTAAGTTTTTATTTCCTAAAGAATATTTAATAGAAGAATTTTCGAATAATCGAAATTTAGGGAAATTGAATTGTAAACAAATGGATTTGAAATTTTTTAAAGAACGTTTTCCGAAATTATTAAAAATTGATTTATAGCAGAATTTTAGTTCTATAAAATAATATTTTTCATAAATAATAAAATTTTCAGAGGTATTTAATTATTTAATTAATTTAAATTCAATTATTTTTAATACAATTTTAAATGAATTCTTCAAAAAAACACAATTATTCTTGAAAGTTTTATAAAAATTCTACGAAAGAATTCAATTATTTTCTAAACTTTTAATAAAGTTCTTTATAAGAATTCAATTTTAAGAAATATTCAACTATTCAGAAAAAAATTATTTATTTTTGTATACATAAATAATTGAATATTAGAAGCGTTATAATGTGAATTGTTAGAAATAATTAAATTTCAAAAAATTTTTAAACTGAAATCCTTGAAAATTTTAATTTTTGTAAAATTGTAACAATATTAAAATTTTTGTTAGTTATTTAATCCCACATTTTTTCATAGTTTTAAATTTATTTTTAAATTAAAATTCTTAAATTGAAATAAAATGATTAAGTTTTTGAATCATTTTATTCAGAAATTGTATCAAAAAATGATTGAATTTTAGCAGAATTACAGTTGTAATTTTTAGATAAATATTTAAATTTAAAAAAGGCTTTAAATTGAAATCACTTGAAATATTTTAATTCTGCGTAAAAATAAATAGATATTTAAACATTTATTTAAATAAAATTATTCTATTTTTGAATAAGTAATTTAATTTAGAAATTATGAAATAATTGAGTAGTCAAATTTAATTTTTCGATATTTTTTTTACTTCTTTCTTCGGTCTTATAAAGTTACTTTTTGCTATTTTTTTAAAATTAATTTTCGAGTACGAAGCCTGTTATTTTATTATATATAGTTAACGAATTAAGTACAATTGAAGAGAAGAGTTAAATTACAAGTTATTTTTTTTTAATTATTTAAATATCTCGAAAAATATTTGGTTTCATATGAAACCCAGAGTTTTCAACTGTTTTAAATGATTTTTCGATTAATTTTGTAATGACTTGAAAATCGATGAATCAAACTTTTTTTATTTCTTTAGATAGTAGTGAAATTAAATACTTGATATTTTATATATTGCTGTTTATTTGAAATACAAATAATAATTTACTGAAATTGAAAAAAAGGAGCTATACTTTAAAATTGTTTAATATATAAAAATTGGTTCAAGTGTACGAGAGTTTTAATCATAAATTTTTTTTTTAAAATAAAAATTCAGGGTTGCCACAAGTCAGGGAGAAGTAAAAATTTTTAGGTAAATCAGGCAAAATTTTATAAAAAGAACTGAAAAAATATTTAAATTTAAAAATTCTGAATTTTGGTGTCCAGCAAATTTTGAAAACATGAACAAGATTCAATTCTTTTTGAAGTTTTTTTTATTTCACTTATAAACTCTAAAATCATCAATTTTAATTAAAAAAACCTTAAGTTCTTTTTATTTCAAACAATAATAATTGATTCAGAATATGGAATTGAATTTATTTTCAAGACTTCAATTCTTGAAAAACTTCGTTCTTAATTCTTATTAACAAAAAAATTATTTAGTATTTAGAGAATAATTTTACTTGCAAATTCAAAAAATTAATTAAATTCTGCAAGAGTTGCATTCGCAAATTTTTTTATAAATAATTTGATTTCAAATTGAATTTTTTCGAAAAAGTAAATTTTAAATAGTTTAAATTGAAATTTACCGGAAAGTTAGTTTTTTAAAAATATTAAATTAAATTTTCGAGAAATATAATTAAAAAAAGCTTTCGAATAATTAAAATGATGTTAAATTTTATTGAAAATAATCGATTTTTTTATGTAGTTAAAATTTTTGAAAATTAAATTTTTTAAAGTTTTAATTGCAAATTTTTAAAATAATTGGATTTTAAAAAATATAAAGAAAAATCAAAATGAAAATTACTTTTGAAATCTATTAAGAAATTATTTCTAAAAAGTAATTTTCAGAATTTTTTTTATTATATTTTCACTTAAAATTCAATTATTTAAAAAATTTTTAATTAAAATTCTTTAAAAAACTGAATAGTTTTCATATCTTTCAAAAATTATTCTTCATACTATGTCGCAAAACAATTTTTTCAGTGTAAAAATCTGAAGGCAGCTATTATAAAGTATAAATATGTAGAATATTTTTTAATTTTTAAAGAACTAAAAATTTGTTTGAAGTTTACAAAATAGGTTTTCATCAACAAAAACTGATCCAGTGTAGAGGACTAAATTTTATCTATGGTAACTTAATTATAAATCGGTAGGTATTGGTTGAAAAATTCAAAAAAAAAAAATAAATCGTGTGGAGAAGTGTTATATACAATAAGAAATAATTTTTAAATCATTGTGAAAATACGGTAAGTTTTTATTTATTTCCATTAGAATAGATTATTACGACCTATACTAAATAAGATGATGATGATGATGATGATGATGATGATGATGATGATGATGATGATGATGATGATGATGATGATGATGATGATGATAATAATAATAATAATACCTACAGTAATAATTATTAATATGTGTAAAAAGTGGATTTTATTAGCTGCTGTACCTAAAATATAGTAGAGTGACCAAAATTTGACCTATATGTTTTCGAAAGGTTTTTTCCTCCTCTTTCGAATAGTGCAAACATTTTTTTTAAATTCAAAATTTAACTTAATTTTTTCAAAATTAAAAAAATTTTTGACTTTTTTTTTTAAAAACGACTTATAAAAAATTTTTTTTCTTTAAACTAAAGCTTAATACGTGTACTTTCAATGCCCGAAAAGAAATAAAATGCCGTTTTTTTGTTTTCGTATCATAAATTCATTTATTGTCGAATTGATGTTTATTTATTCCTCCAATATCAATATTTTCGAAGAAAATTTAAAAAATAAATTTATCGTAAAGCTTACCAAATCCCGCATCCAACAAGCATAATTTTAACTATTTTTTATAAATAATTGTTGAGTAAATTATTTATTTATTCTATAATTAATAAAAAATAGTTCAAAATTGGATTTTTTTTGAAAATAATTGAATTTCAGGAGCTTTTAAATAGAATTTCTTTGGAAATAATTGATTCTGGAAAAGTTGCAGTTATTACAAGTTCTATGTGATTTATTAAATCTTACAAGATTTTAAATTGTATTTTTATAAAATGTTTGACTTTCATACGGTTTAAAATTGAATTATTTTTAAATAATTGAATTTCAGCAGGTTTTAAATTGAATTTTATGAAAATAGTACATATACCATTTTTTTAGCTCCTCAAAATGAACACGTTAGGATGGGTCCGATTTAAAGTAATTTTTTACTGTCAAACAGTGTTAATTAATTTATATTTTTTTATTACATTCATTGATATTACTAATATTATAAAATTTTTATAATTAAATAAGTTCGATAAATAAAAATTTTCAGAAATGCAGAAGAAGAAAAAGTTTCATTTGTTCTAAGAGGTCCTATTCTTATTCGAAAATAGACAATAACTGAATGCAAAGGAATATTAAGTACAAAAATAATTTAACAATTAATTTTTTGTTATTTAGCAGATACATTATTTAAATTTTAATCAATTCCTTCTTTCCGATCATGATACTGAATATGTGTAAAATTTATTTAATTTTATAAAATTGTTAAGATTTGCATTGCTTTTTTAAATGCTTTAACTTATCAGGTACAAATATCCCAGTTAATTATACATTAGTTACATTTTTATTACTCTAACTTAAACATATTTATGTATTTTACTGTTTGTTACAATTGACAATAATAATTTTAAATCTATATTGTCATAAATTATAAATTTCAGTACATAAACTGATACAAAAACTTTTTATATTACATCAAATGTAAACTGATCGAAATAAATGCATTGTTCTAGATTCGAAAATTAGAAATGTGAATTAAACTTTTAATCTATTCGGAACAATGGAAATGCACTGCTTTTTTCGTTTCTGATTTAATTGGTGAAGCGATTACAAATCGATGTAAATCTGCAGTGTCAATGTACGATATAATTTCGTTTAAAACGAGAATGGGTAATTGAAATTTTACTATAATTCGAAAACAGTCGTAACTTAATTCTATTAATCGCTTCTCAAGTTTTGCTTTATTCAGACGGACTTCAAATCTACGGGCAAAATTCGGAAATGAAGTTTTAAAATCAAATGAATTTATAAAGTCGAGAAAATTTTCATTTCGCATTAAAGTAGAAAGTCGTCTATGTGACATAGTCAGGACTTCGTACATTGTCACATCAGTTTCACTAATTTTTGTTTTTTTCATTTCTTCGAGTTCGTTAGGACATTTCAGATAATTGCGATCTAAGATTAAATCTACGCTATGATCACATGACAAATCAATTATTTCATCGTATTCAGATTGTGAACTTAAACAATCAAATATTGGATCCATTTCCTCTGGAAAATAAGTGGCGCCATAGTGCAGAAGCAGTTTTGTAATATTTAAGTTTATATTCAAGGCGACAGCGTAGAAAAGTACAGTGTGGTTGCAAGTAATGCAATTAACGTTAGCGCCAGCTTCTAGAAGTAATTTAACGCATTCGAAACTTTTCATATAGACTGCGATGCAAAGTGGGGTTTTATTTCTGTGACTGTAGGAATTGATATTGGCCTTGTTAGTTAATAAAATTCTGGTAATTTCTACCCAATTGTATTTCACTGATACATGAAGGGGCGATAATTCATTTCTACCTCCATTTACGTTTACAAGGGCACCACGTGCCAATAGTTCCTGAACAATAGTTAAGCGTCCTCCTTCACACGCATGATGCAGTAATGTAAAACCATCAATCAGACAAGTATTTACGTTACAAACATTTGGTAAGAAATTGTAAAAAATATCAGTAGCTCCGTATTTAATGGCACCTATTAATAAATGATATTCCAGAAATTCTTGTTTCATTTTTTCATCACAGGACGTTTCTTCTTTATTTAAAAGTCTTTGCACAATGTTTCTATTTTCTATCATCGTTGCAAAATCTAGAGAGACTGATGAAAATTTCTCTGGAATTGGCATATTTTTTATGTCTTCGATGTTAAGCCTGAAACCATGATTATAAAATAATTCACAGATTAACTTGCTTTTACGTTTATTACTATGTTCTTTAGAAATTTTAAGATCAGGTATTGTTTGATAATAGGAACCCAGAAAGGAAAGGCAGAAAGCCATTTTTAGAGTCATATCGCAAGTATTTGGATTTTCACCCAGAAGAATTGTTGCACCAATCAAAGATAGACGATGAACGGCGTAATTCAAAGGAATCAGACCATCAATATTTTTAGCCATTAAATTAGCACCGTTATTTACGAGCATTTTTAGAAATTCGCCATTGTCATCATCGGATATATGTTTGGCTGCCGAATGAAGTGGAGTGTCATCTGAAAAAGTGGCAGTAGCGTTAACGTCTGCACCTGCTCGTAAAAGAAGAAGCGAAATTTCTTTATGACGTACTCTGCTAGCAAGATGTAGAGGTTTTCCATCATAATGTGTCTCAGCTTCCACGTTAGATCCTCTAGATAGTAGAAATTCAACAAGATCATAACCCTCACTTTCCACTGCTCTATGTAACGCTGTAAAACCAGCAAGATCTCTTTCCTCCATATCCCCACCATTATCAATAAGCATTTTTATTTCATGCTGTGATAAAATACGCTTAATACTATCATTAAACGTCTCATGATAAGGTGTCCTGCCAAACTCATTACAAATTTTTATATCAGCTCCATTTTCAAGTAAAAGTTGAATAACACTTTCAGATTGATTATTATTTAAATCTGTAACAGCAATATGTAGAGGTGTATTTAACTTCTGATTTCTTGCATTAACAATAGCTCCTTTTGCCAGTAAAATTTTCACGATTTCCACATTTCCAGTTTCTACTGCAAAATGAAGTGGTGTCTGATCGTGATCTTGAGTTTCGTCATTTACTTTCACAGGATGATGCAAAAGAAGTCTTGAAATTCCGAGAAAATTGTCTGAAAGTTCGTACATTTCGTCTTCTTCTTGTAATTCGTCATGACGATGTGGTGAATAAATAGAATTTTGAAGCATACTGCAAAGTAGTGAATAACCAGAAGATGATGCGAGGTAATCATTAAAATTGTGATCAGAAAGAATATTCTTGACTGTCCACTTATCGCCAGAGAAACATGCATTTTGTAAAGACTCAATTTCTATCGACGACATTGTCACTTTATTCCTTGAGGTTTATTTTGGATTATTGAATTGAATCAAACTTGTTGACATCGAAATTGAGAAAATCTGTAAACAAAGAGTTTGTTAATTTCATTGGAAAATCATTAAATGAGTGAAATTTTCTCAAAAAAAATCAAAGTTGGTCATGGGTCTTTCAATTTTTGTGAAACTTGGTATAAAGGTAGTGTTTTATGACAGAAGATTTTAGGAAAAAAAGATTTTTAAAAATTTTCAAAATTGTGAAGTTTACCGGGCATTAAACATTAAAGTACATTTTTGTAAAAAAACGAATAACTTATTTTATTTATTATTTATAATAATATAACAATTAACAGTGCAATATTAAGGGGATGTCAAAGTCGATTGGATTTTTGCATTGAGCTTCAATGGGAAAATCGCATCGACTTTGAATAAAAAAAAATCCAAAATTTGCCCGAAAAAAAAGTCAAAAAAAATTTTGATTTCATTTTTTCGAGCATCAGCACCCCTTCGATTTTTTTGTAACTATAATATTTGGATTCGTTATCTTCTCCAGAATTTTTTGCAAAAAAAAAATCCCTGGAGACTTTAAAACTAACCGAAATATCGAATTTTTTGTCTCGAAGTGCACAGATATCGATCTCACGTAAATATATTTGACTAATTTTCAATAAAATTTGCGACGGATATTATAAAATGTACTCTGGAATAACGATTTTAAATAACAAAATTTATTATTTTCAAAGTCAATTTTTTTTATATAAAATATATTTAAATTTTCCTTGAACATTACAATTAGCTGTTAAATATTCTTATTTTTTAAGAATCAATTTTACAAATTTTTGAAATAAATTTTTTCAATTTTTATAAAATAAAATTGTCTTTTAAAATAATAAAAGTTATTCCGGAAATAACAAATTTTTAATATTAAATCTCACTAATTTTTTTCTGACATTTTACTTCGCATAAATATTAAAATTAATGGAATTTTAAAAGCAATAGTAAGGTTGTAATTAATTGTAAAAAAAATTATTTGTCAATTAAAAAGAATAAAATTCCATATTTTTTTGTAGAACGTTGAAAATCGTGAATCTTTACGCATTCAGAAAAATAGGAACTTTAAATTCTTTTCTATCGCCTAATTGACTCAAAGCAGGGGTTCCTACTCAATACCTTTTCCATGATTTCCGGATTCTTTAGGAACCCTATATTCGTATGTATATTCAGATAAGAATTAAAAAATCCTCGTTTTGAAGCAAATTTCCTGGAAATGCAATTATTCTCTATTCCTGGCTTCTTACCGTGTTGCACAATTACCGCTTGTATAATTATATTTTTATCTTCATTAAAAATTACCAACATAACCTAAAAATTTGGGTGAAAAGATTTGGGCTATTCTTTCACTCATAAAATTATACTCTCTTACACGCTTATTCCTACGTTACTGACTTTAAACATTAATATTTCAATAAAAAAGTACTAATCATACATGATTATTAACTTACTGTATCTAACGATTTCGACGATTTTTTCTTTGTTGATTTTTGCAAAGCAGGTATATAGCGGCCAAAACCATGAACCGCCAAAACACGTTTGCGACAATTTGTTTCGTATGTTTAGGTAACATACGTAAACTCGACTTTGTTACAGTTTCTCATCCCTGGTTTTCATGCTTGCGATTTAGGCTTTATTCACATGTGGACCTTGCATTCGTATGACGAGGTGTGATTTAGACTTAAAAGTTCAAAGTATGTAAACATAAACACAAACATACCTGTATTCAATGTATTTAAAATCGTCTTTTCCTTTTGGATTTAAAAAATTAGCATGAAAAATTTAAATATTTTTCTGAAACTTGAGTGTAAATTTTTTCCATGATAAGGTATGTCATTATTAATATTTATAAAAATAATATGCATGCGTTTAAGAATGAGAAGAATAGATTTTAATTTTTAGGTTATGTTCATTGATCATTTTTAAAATTTACGATTCAAGGTTCATTCAAAAAAAATAATAACAAAACATGAGAAAAGCAATCAGAATTTCTATTGTTTTTGGACAGTATTTCTTACTTTTGCTGTTTAAAAGTATGAGAAAAGAACAAGAATCATGAAAATTTTCAAGACTATTCCACGTGAACTTTTTATTCTCTTATTGCGCCTTAAAATTCAAAACTAATATCAGTTTTTACAGGGTTAGATTTCATGAAGTTTTTACGAAAAATAAAAGTATTCTTTGTTATAATCAAAATATTTGAAAAACATTTCTATTTGGCCTTAGGAATTGGTCTACCAAAGAATATTTTTAAACAAAATTTTGTTTCTCTTAAATGAATATGAACCGATTTAAATCATCCAAGCGAGAATAAGGATAAAATGTATTTTCGTTTAGAATTAGACATTTTTTAAAAAGTTTATGTTTTAATAATAATTTAATAAATTGTTTATAAAAAATTGATTTTTTTGAATGTTTTGCGCCTTTTAAAAATTTAAAAATAATCTTAAAATACAATTAAAACTGTAAGAAATTAAAATCCGTTGAAAAAATTTAAGAGCAAGTCCATACGAAAACACGACTCACATAATAAATTGATATTCGGTCAAATTAGATTTCTGGCAAATTGAAACTCGATAAACTTGACTTTCTGTTAAATATTATAATTCGGACGAATAAATATTTTACTAAATTAAAATTCCTTGTGATAAATTAATATTCTTTTGAATTTCTATTCAGTTTAATTTAAATTCTGGGAAACAATTTTTCTCAACAATTAAACTTGAATCATATTTAATTTGTGACTCATTACTATTCTTACGAATAAAGATTCTACAACATTGATAATCGATTTAATGGAAATTCTTCCAAGCTCACGTTGTACGAAATAAATACTCCGCTAAAATTATATTCTAGAGAATAAAATTCTATGCAATAAAAATTCTTACTAATCCACTTTAGGGCCTTTACATGCGCCCTACCTTCAATTAAGTCATAATTTTTATTTAATAATTTTCCAGTAAAATTAACAAACTCTTTGTTTACAGATTTTCTCAATTTCGATGTCAACAAGTTTGATCCAATTATTGAATAATTCAACATAAGTCTCAAGGAATAAAGTGGCAATGTCGTCGATAGAAATTCAGTCTTTACTTAATGCATGTTACTCTGGCGATGAGTGGACAGTAAGAAATATTCTTTCTGATCACAATTTTAATGATTACCTCGCATCATCTTCTGGTTATTCACTACTTTGTTGTATGCTTGATAATTCTATATATTCAGTAAAACATCAAAGTGAATTACAACTATACTACATGTCATACCAACACCTTTTAAACCATTTTCTCGAAATTTCAAAACTTCTTTTGCAACATCCTGTGAAAGTAAATGACGAAACTCAAGATCACGATCAGACGCCACTTCATTTCGCGGTACAAAATGGAAATGTGGAAATCATAAAAATTTTACTGGAAAAAGGGGCTGTTGTTAATGCAACCAATAAAGAGTTAAATACACCTCTGCATATTGCTGTTTCAGATAAATATAATCTTTCTGAAAGTGTTATTCAACTTCTACTTGAAAATGGAGCTGATATAAAAATTTATAATGAGAATTCCAGGACACCTCATGATGTGTGTGTTAATGCAAGTATTAAGCGTATTTTATCACAGCATGAAATAAAAATGCTTCTTGATAGTGACGGGGATATTGAGGAAAAAGATTGTTGGGGTTATACAGCGTTACACAGAGCGGTGAACAGTGAGAGTTATGAACTTGTGGAATTTCTATTATGTATCGGATGTGACGTGAATGCTGAGACAGAGTTTGATGAAACACCTCTACATCTTGCTAGCCAAATTCGTCATAAAAAAATTTCGCTTCTTCTTTTACGAGCAGGTGCAGATGTAAACGCTACTACTGTTGCAGATGACACTCCATTGCATTTGGCAGTCAAACATTTATCCAAAGACGACGATGGCAAATTTCTAAAGATGCTCATAAATAACGGTGCTGATTTAACAGCTATAAATTATGATGGCCTGATTCCTTTAAGTTACTCCGTTGGAAATATATCTTTGACTGAACCTACAATTCTTCTGGGTGAAAATCCAGATACTTGCGATATGACTCTAAAAATGGCTTTTTGCCTTTCCTTTCTGGGTACCTATTATGAAACAATACCTGACCTAAACATTTGCACAGACCGTAGAGATAAATGTGAATACCAGTTAATCAGTGAATTATTTTATAATCAGGGTTTCAGGATTAATATCAAAGACATAAAAAATCTGTCAATACCAGAGGAATTGACATTAGTTACTCTAGATCATTCAACTATGATAGAACATAGAAACATTGTGCAAAGTCTTTTAAATAAGAAAGAAACATCCTGCGATGAAAAAATGAGGCAAGAATTTCTAGAATATCATGTATTAATAGGTGCCATTAAATACGGATTTACTGATATTTTTTACAAATTCTTACCAAGTGTTTGTAATGTTAATACTTGTTTGATTGATGGATTTACATTGCTACATCATGCCTGTGGAAAAGAACGCTTAATTATTATCAACGAACTTTTGGCACGTGGTGCCAATGTGAATGCAATTGGAGGCAGAAATAAATTTTCACCCCTTCATGTATCAGTGAAATACAATTGGGTAGAAATTACCAGAATGTTATTAACTAACAATGCCAATATCAATTCTTACAGTTGCAGTAATAATACCCCACTTTGCATCGCAGTTTATAAGAATAGATTTGAATGCGTTCATTTACTTCTAGAAGCTGGCGCTAACGTTAATTGTATTAATTCCGAAAACCACACTCCACTTTACTATGCTAGCGTTTCCAATAAAGACATGAATATTACAAAACTGCTTCTGCACTATGGTGCCACTTACTGTCCAGGGGAAACAGAACCAATATTTGAATTTTCAAGATCTCCATCTAAATCCGATGAAATAATTCACCTGACATCTGATCACAGCGTAAATTTAAGAGTCTTAGATCACAATTATCCTAAATGCCCTAACGAACTCGAAGAAATGAAAAAAACAAAAATTAGTGAAACTGATGTGACAATGCACGATCTCTTAACTATGTCACATAGACGACTTTCTACTTTAATGCGAAATGGAAATTTTCTCGATTTTATAAATTCATTTGATTTTGAAACTTCATTTCCGAATTTTGCCCGTCGATTTGAAGTGCGTGTAAATAAAGCAGAACTTGAGAAGCGATTAATAGAATTAAGTTACGACTGTTTTCGAATTATAGTAAAATTTCAATTACCCATTCTCGTTTTAAACGAAATTATATCGTACATTGACACTGCAGATTTACATCGATTTGTAATCGCTTCACCAATTAAATCAGAAATGAAAAAAGCGGTGCAATTCCATTGTTCCAAATAGACTAAAAGTTTAATTCACTTTTCTAATTTTCGAATCAAGAACAATGCATTTATTTCGATCAGTTTACATTTGATGTAATATAAAAAGTTTTTGTATCAGTTTATGTACTGAAATTTATAATTTATGACAATATAGATTTAAAATAATTATTGTACTTTGTAACAAACATTAAAATACATTAATATCGTAAGTTAGAGTAATAAAAATGTAACCAATGTACAAATTAACTGGGTTTTTGTACCTGAAAAGTTAGGGCATATAAATAAGGAACGTAAAATTTAACAATGTTATAAATTTAATAATAAAAAAAAATATTCAATCGTTAAAGTCGTTAAGTGAACTTATTATATTTCCAAGCAATTGTTAAAAGTGTCTGATAAATTATAACAAAAAACATAAAACAATGTACAATTAAACAATTTATCAATAATGTTCGATAAATTAGAACACAAAAAAATTCAATTATTAAAGTTGTACAAAATAAACTCATTTTAATTTAAGCAATGTACAATTAAACATGTCATCAGTTAATTAAAATTGAACTATTGTACAATGAAAAATTTATCAGAACCTGTTCAATGGCATAAAAAAATTGATATTAAACTATTTTTGTATTTTGTACTTAATATATCTCTGCATTCAATTATATTTACCATTTCCGAATAAGAATATTTGGACCATATCATATATGTTGGAACAAAAGAATCTTTTTCTCCTTCTAGAATTCTGAAATTTCATAATTATCCAACTTATTTAATTATAAAAGTTTTTTATTATTTGTAATATCAATGAATGTAATAAATTAATTAAAAATTAAATAACTGTGTGATAGTAAACAAATTACTTTAAATCGGACCTACCGTAACTTGTTTATCTTGATGAACTAAAAAAATTATATGTACTATTTTTAAAAAATTCAATTTAAAGTCTGTTAGGATTTAAAATGTTTTTAAAAAATTCAATCTTAAACCTTGTGTAAATTTGCTTTCTAGAGAAAATTCAAATACTGTTAGCATACTTACTAACCTTGGTTAAAAATTCGGATTGATTTCGGACTAATCCGAAATTTGTCCGAAACAGCGCGGTTTTTGGTCAGGTTTTTGAATAATGAAGAAAGCCTCTTAAAAAGCCTTAAGCGCCCTATTTTTTGAGATAAATTTTTACGATTGTCCAAAAATGCCCAGCAAAATCTGTTCACCAAAATGTCATGCTCTTTAAAATAAAATATTATATTTAAATAATAACTAATTACTTAATTATTACAAAAAGTAAAGCTTATAATCTTAAAATATTTATAAACAGACAAAAATCTATCAATCTATATACAAATTATATTTATTTTTAGTTAAAGTGATTATTATTTTTAGTTTACGACCCGTAGGTCCTCAACCCTTGATGGCAGATATCGTCGGCTTGGTGGAAAACTGTATCATTTCAAGAATTCGTTATAAACGCAATTCCATTTCGATGAAGATCTATAAAAGCGTTGCACTAAAGAATTTCTAATGATTAACAAGTAATATTGATTTAAAATATTAAAAAGTTTGAATAAATACATTAATAAGATGAATACATGAGTATTTTTACTTTATTTTTTCAAGATCAAAAATATTTTTACTTTTTAAAAATTTTTTTTCTTTAAACTAATAAATATTAATATGTGTACTTTCAATGCCCGAAAAGAAAAAAATGCCGTTTTTTTGTTTTTGAATTATTAATTAATTAATGAAAATTTGTAAAAAAAGTAAATATTGTACGAACAAATAAACCTTTCTTATCTTGAGGCTTATCATCGTAAAGCTTACCAAATTTCGCATCCAACAACACTGTAATAAACGCAAAAAAACACTTGTTTTCAAGAATTTTTTTTTATGAAAGGTAAGGGAATACAATTATAATGATGTGGTATGTTATTACTTATTAGTCTTATATTAAAATAAAAAAATACGAAATTGCAATAAAAAATGTTACAAAATAGCGGAACTACAGATGACATTTGCGTAAAGTGCTTTATCTTGTAAGAGCTGCGCGGCACGCAGCACACAGGGTACAAAATTAAATCTGGAACTAAATAAAAATTGTTTTCTTTATCTACATAATAATAGCTAGAGAAACACGTAAGGGTTTTGAAAAATATTGATTTTTGTGTAATTGGCAAGCATTTGAAAAAAACCTCATTTTTTACCAAAAAGGCACTCAATTGTTTATAACAAATGTTTAAATTAATTTATCGAAAAGCCCTTAAGTGTTTCTCTTTTGAAATGTTATTATAAAGATGTATAAAAAAATCCGATTAAAAATAATGAAACTTGTTTGAGTTATGCTGCGTGTCGATTTCAAGAAACGTGTTTTAAGAAAAACGCGTTTGAAGTTTAGAGATCTTAGAGATATATAAAACATACCTATGAAAAAGTGGAAAGTTTTACTGTTAATAATTTTTTACAATTAATCTACAATTCCATTAACGTAAAGACATAATTCAGTATTTGTATCATCATCTGCGAGCAGTTCCTGTCCAGCAGGTAGCCATCCGACGCAAATAGTCGTTGCGGAGCAGTCCGGCGCGCTCGGTAAAAGGACTCGTTTCAATGAAATCTATTTCGGAAATGTATAAAACCTTTTGTTCTTTATTCTACAAGGTTCAAAAAATTTTTGTAACTAATAAAAAAGAAATTGATTTTTTTTAACACTGGCCTTACCCCTTAACTGTTTTTTATATATAATTGTTAAATAAATAAATAAGTAATACATTATTTATTTAATAATTATTTATAAAATATAGTTTAAAATTGAATTTTTTTAAAATAGTACATATACCATTTTTTAGTTTCTCAAGATGAACACGTTATAGGAATAGGTCCAATTTAAAGTAATTATTTACTGTCATACAGTGTTATTTAACTTTTAATTTATTTATTACATTCCTTGGTATTACCAATATTATAAAGTTTTTATAATTAAATAAGTTCGATAATTATAAATTTTCAGAATTCTTTTGATCCAAGATATATGCTTTCGTCCTATTCTTATTCGAAAATAGACAATAACTGTATGAAGAGAAATATATTAAGTACAAAAATAATTTAACATTAATTTCTTTTATGTCATTTAGCAGGTACATTATTTAACTTTTAATCAATTCCTTTTTTGCTATTTCGATACTGAATAATATTCAGTATCGAAATCGCAAAGAAAGAATTATACATATTATGTATAGAATTTATAAATTTGTTAAGAATTACGTTGCTTTCTTGAATGCTTTAACTTATCAAGTACAAATATCCCAGTTAATTGTACATTAGTTACATTTTTATTACACAAACTTAAACATATTTATGTATTTTACTGTTTGTTACAATTAACAATAATTATTTTAAATCTATACATTGTCTTTAAATGCATTGTTCTTGATTCGAATATTAGAAATGGGAACTAAACTTTTAGTCTATTCGGAACAATAGAATTGCACCGTTTTTTTCATTTCTGATTTAATTGATGAAGCAATTACAAATCGATGTAAATCTGCAGTGTCCATGTACGATATAATTTCGTTTAAAACGAGAATGGGTAATTGAAATTTTACTAGAATTCGAAAACAGTCGTAACTTAATTCTATTAATCGCTTCTCAAGTTTTGCTTTATTTACACGCACTTTAAATCGACGGGCGAAATTCGGAAATGAAGTTTTAAAATCAAATGAATTTATAAAGTCGAGAAAATCGTTATTTCGCATTAAAATAGAAAGTCGTCTATGTGACATAGTTAGGAGATCATACATTGTCACAGCAGTTTCACTAATTTTTGATTTTTTCATTTCTTCGAGTTCGTTAGGGCATTTAGGATAATTTCGATCTAAGATTAAATTTACGTTGTGATCACATGCCAAATCAAATATTTTATGGTATTCAGATTTAGATCTAAAATAATCAAACATTGCTTCCATTTCCCCTGGAAGGCAAGTTGCACCATAGTGCAGAAGCAGTTTTGTAATATTCATGTCTCTATTGAAAACGCTAGCATAGTAAAGTAGAGAGTGATTTTCGGAATTAATACAATTAACGTTAGCGCCACGTGCCAAAAGTTCGTTAATAATAGTTAAGCGTCCTCCTTCACAGGCATGATGCAATAATGTGTAACCATCAATCAGACAAGTATTTACGTTACAAACATTTGGTAAGAAATTGTAAAAAATATCAATAGCTCCGTATTTAATGGCACCTATTAATACATGATATTCCAGAAATTCTTGCCTCATTTTTTCGTCACAGGATGTTTCTTCTATATTGAAAAGACTTTGCACAATGTTTCTATATTCTTCCTTGGTTGATTCATCTAGAAAGACTGATGACAACTTCTCTGAAATTGGCATATTTTTTATGTCTTCGATGTTAAGCCTGAAACCATGATTATAAAATAATTCACAGATTAACTTGCTTATACGTTTATAACTATGTTCTCTATAAATTCTAAGATTATATATTCTTTGATAATAGGAACGTAGAAAGGAAAGGCAGAAAGCCACTTTTAGAGTCATATCGCAAGTATTTGGATTTTCACCCAATAGAACTGTAGCACTATTCAAAGATAGACGATAAACGGCGTAATTCAAAGGAATCAGGCCATCAATATTTTTAGCCGTTAAATTAGCACCATTATTTATGAGCATCTTTAGAAATTCGCCATTGTCATCATCGGATATATATTTGGCTGCGGAATGAAGTGGAGTGTCATCTGTATCAGTAGTAGCGTTTACATCTGCACCTGCTTGTAAAAGAAGAAGTGAAATTTCTTTATGACGAATTTGGCTAGCAATATGTAGAGGTGTATTTAACTTCTGATTTCTTGCATTAACAATAGCTCCTTTTGCCAGTAAAATTTTTACGATTTCCACATTTCTCATTTCTACTGCAAAATGAAGTGGAGTCTGATCGTGATCTTGAGTTTCGTCATTTACTTTCACAGGATGTTGCAAAAGAAGTTTTGTAATTTCGAGAAAATTGGGTAAATGTTGTTCGTACATTGCGTGTTCTGCTTCGTTACGAAGCATACTACAAAGTAGTGAATAACCAGAAGATGATGCGAGGTAATTATTAAAATTGTTTTGAGAAAGAATATTCTTGACTGTCCACTTATCGCCAGAGAAACATGCATTTTGTAAAGACTCAATTTCTATCGACGACATTGTCACTTTATTCCTTGAGATTTATTTTAGATTATTCAACAATTTTGGATCAAACTTGTTGACATCGAAATTGAGAAAATCTGTAAACAAAGAGTTTGTTAATTTCACTGGAAAATCATAAAATAACAGTTATACAGCGTCACATATTCTCGTTTCTCTTAGAAACAAAGAAAATAAACTACCGGCAGTATAATTGTGCGATTACTACTTTTTTATTAATATTAAATAACTTCTAACTTAAAAAGAAAATTTTTCTATTTTATTTTCAAAGAACTGGAAAAATAAATTTAAAATGCAAGTTATGAAAGTTCACTGTGGGTCCCAACTAACTTCAACCCAAAAGTGATATTTTACTAATTTTCAATAAAATTTGCGACTGATATTATAAAATGTACTTTGGAACATTTTACTTCGCATAAATATTAAAATTAATAGAATTTTAAAACAATAGTAAGGTTGTAATTAATTGTAAAAAAAAATTATTTGTCAGTTAAAAAGAATAGATTTCCATATATATTTTTTTTGTAAAACGTTGAAAATCGTGAATCTACGCATTCAGAAAAATAGAAACTTTAAATTCTTTTCTATCGCCTAATTGACTCAAAGCAATAGAGAATTAATTTTTCTGAAATTTTAACGTTCACCGTGGAATAGTAGAGCTTGAAGCAGGGTTCCTATACAGAAATCCGAATTTAAAATTCCATACCTTTTTCATGATTTTCAGGTCAAATTTTTAGGAAATTCCAGTGTAAGTTTAAATTTAATTTCTACGTTGTATAATATATATTATATCATAAAATTTCTAATTGAATTTGTATTGAAGAGAAAAAATGGAAAATAGGAAAAATTTAGAAACTTTTTAAAAGTCCAGGCCTCTTCCATGATTTCCAGAAGCCTTTTAAAAATTCCATACCATTTCCATGATTTCCGTATTCTGTAGGAACCCTGTCGAAGGTATATTCGTATGTATATTCAGATAAGAATTAAAGAATCCTCGTTTTGAAGCAAATTTCCTGGAAATTCAATTACCACCTGTATATAAATGTATTTATATTGAAGTTCCTTTTTTGCTATTATGTAATATCGCAATCAGTTTTTATTGAATATTTTTGACGTAATATAAACACTTAAATATCAATTTTCTATATTAAAAAATGTTTTTCCTTTCGCACTATTACTTTCAAAAATTACCAACACAACCTAAAAATTTAGGTGATAGGATTTGTGCCATTCTTTCACTTATATATATATCATAAAATTCTACTTTCTTTACACTTTCTTATGTTACTGACTTTAAACATTAATATTTTAATAAAAAAGCACTAATATTCATAATTCATACAACTTTATTACCTTACTGTGTCCAACGATTGCAACAATTTTTTCTTTGTTGATTTTTGCAAAGCAGGTATCCAAAACCACGCCAAAACGGCCAAAACACACGTTTGCGCCAATTTGTTACGTATATTTAGGTTACATACGTAAACTTGAGTTTGATAAGATAAGGCCTAAGCACAATAGGTTCGCGAAAGTCGTTCGTGAACGCAAAGCATGAGTTAGAAAAGGACAGAGATATATTTGGGTCCTTGTCTATCTCATGCGTCTCGTTCGCGAACCTATTGTGCCTGTGCGTTGGACTTTACACTTTCTCATCCCTGGTTTTCAAGCGATTTAGGCTTTATTCACTTGTGGACCTTGCATTCTCATGACGAGATGTGATTTAGACTTAAAAATTCAAGGTAAACATAAACAACCAAGAAAGAGTTGGTGCTGTTCGTGCTGTTTAAATAAAAATGCGTATTCAATGTATTTAAAATCGTCTTTTCCTCTTGGATTTAAAAAATTAGCGAGAAAAATTTAAGTATTTATGATAAGGTATAATGTCATTATTAATATTTATAAAAATAATATGCATGCATTTAAAAATGAGAATAGATTTTAATTTTTAGGTTATGTTCATTGATCATTTTTAAAATTTACGATTCAAGGTTTTCACTATGTTCAGGCCATGGTTCAGACCTACTAAGTAGAAAAATAAGAAAACCATACAAAAAAATAATAACAAAACATGAGAAAAACAATCAGAATTTCTGTTGTTTTTGGACAGTATTTCCTACTTTTGCTGTTTAAAAAGTATGAGAAAAGAACAAGAATCATGAAAATTTTCAAGACTATATTCCACGTGAACTTTTTATTCTCTTATTGCGCCTTAAAATTCAAAACTAATATCAGTTTTTACAGGGTTAGATTTCATGAAATTTTCACGAAAAATAAAAGTATTCTTTGTTATAATCAAAATATTTAAAAACATTTCTATTTGGCCTTAAAAATTAGTCAACCAAAGAATATTTTTAAACAAAATTTTGTTTCTCTTAAATGAATATGAACCGATTTAAATCATCCAAGCGAGAATAAGGATAAAATGTATTTTCGTTTAGAATTAGAAATTTTTTAAAAAGTTTATGTTTCAATAATAATTTAATAAATTGTTTATAAAAAATTGGTTTTTTTTTAATGTTTTGCGCCTTTTAAAAATTTGAAAAAAATTTTAACATACAATTAAAACTGTAAGAAATTAAAATCCGTTGAAAAAATTTATGAGCAAGTCCATACGAAAAAACGACTCGCATAATAAATTGATATTCGGTCAAATTAGATTTCTAGCAAATTGAAGCTCAATAAACTTGACTTTCTGTTAAATATTATAATTCGGACGAATAAATATTCTACTAAATTAAAATTCTTTGTGATAAATTAATATTCTTTTGAATTTCTATTCAGTTTAATTTAAATTCTGGGAAACAATTTTTCTCAACAATTAAACTTCTTCTTAATTTGATGGCTTCGACAAGTCAGGCCAATTCTATGAAATAAAAATTCTTACTAATTCACTTTAGGGCCTTTACATGCACCATATCACCTTTGCTTCTTTATTTTCAAAAATAATAAACATATCTAAAATTTTTTGTTTCCTTAATTCTTTCTTAAGACAATCATTTTTTCAATTTCATTCACTTTTAATGTTTTGAGGCAAAAACCTAAGGGTTCCGAAAACCGGCATACTTCCCGTATATTTAAATCTGGTTTTTCTCATTTTCAATTAAGTAATAATTTTTATTTAATAATTTTCCAGTAAAATTAACAAATTCTTTGTTTACAGATTTTCTCAATTTCGATGTCAACAAGTTTGATCCAATTCAATAATCCAAAATAAATCTCAACAAATAAAGTGACAATGTCGTCTACAGTGATTGAGTCTTTACAAAATGCATGTTACTCTGGCGATGAGTGGACAGTAAGAAATATTCTTTCTGATAACAATTTTAATGATTACCTCGCATCATCTTCTGGTTATTCATTACTTTGTAGTATGCTTGAAAATTCTATATATTCAGTAAAACGTCGAAGTGAATTAGAACTATACTACATGTCATACCAACAACTTTTAAACAATTTTCTCAAAATTTCAAAACTCCTTTTGCAACATCCTGTGAAAGTAAATGACGAAACTCAAGATCACGACCAGACACCACTTCATTTTGCGGTACAAAATGAAAATGTGGAAATCATAAAAATTTTACTGGAAAAAGGGGCTGTTGTTAATGCAACCAATAAAGAGTTAAATACACCTCTGCATATTGCTGTTTCAGATAAATATAATCTTTCTGAAAGTGTTATTCAACTTTTACTTGAAAATGGAGCTGATATAAAAATTTATAATGAGAATTGCAGAACACCTCATGATGTGTGTGTTAATGCAAGTATTAGGCGTATTTTATCACAGCATGAAATAAAAATGCTTCTTGATAGTGACGGGGATATTGAGGAAAAAGATTGTTGGGGTTATACAGCGTTACACAGAGCGGTGAACAGTAAGAGTTATGATCTTGTGGAATTTCTACTATCTGTCGGATCTGACGTGAATGCGGAGACAAAGTTCTATGAAACGCCTCTACATCTTGCTAGCAAAATACGTCATAAAAAAATTTCGCTTCTTCTTTTACGAGCAGGTGCAGATGTAAACGCTACTACTGTTGCAGATGACACTCCATTGCATTTGGCAGTCAAACATTTATCCAAAGACGACGATGGCAAATTTTTAAAGATGCTCATAAATAACGGTGCTGATTTAACAGCTATAAATGATGATGGTCTGATTCCTTTGAGTTACTCCGTTGAAAATATATCTTTGACTGAAGCTACAATTCTTCTGGGTGAAAATCCAAATACTTGCGATATGACTCTAAAACTGGCTTTTTGCCTTTCCTTTCTGGGTACCTATTATGAAACAATACCTGACCTAGAAATTTTCACAGACCGTGGAGATAAATGTGAATACCAGTTAATCAGTGAATTATTTTATGATCAGGGTTTTAGGATTAATATCAAAGACATGCAAAATATGTCAATACCAGCGGAATTGACATTAGTCACTCTAGATCATTCAACTATGATAGAACATAGAGACATTGTGCAAAGTCTTTTAAATAAAGAGGAAACATCCTGTGATGAAAAAATGAGGCAAGAATTTCTGGAATATCATGTTTTAATAGGTGCAATTAAATACGGATTTACTGATATTTTTTACAATTTCTTACCAAATGTTTGTAACGTAAATACTTGTTTGATTGATGGTTACACATTATTGCATCATGCCTGTGATGGAGGACGCTTAACTATTATTAACGAACTTTTGGCACGTGGCGCTAACGTTAATTGTATTAATTCCAAAAATCACTCTCTACCTTACTATGCTAGCGTTTTCAATAGAGACATGAATATTACAAAACTGCTTCTGCACTATGGTGCAACTTGCCTTCCAGGGGAAATGGAACCAATATTTGATTATTTAAGATCTCAATCTGAATACGATGAAATAATTGATTTGATATGTGATCACAGCGTAAATTTAAGAGTCTTAGATCAGAATTATCCTAAATGCCCTAACGAACTCGAAGAAATGAAAAAAATAAAAATTAGTGAAACTGCTGTGACAATGTACGATCTCCTAACTATGTCACATAGACGACTTTCTATTTTGATGCGAAATAACGATTTTCTCGACTTTATAAATTCATTTGATTTTGAAACTTCATTTCCGAATTTCGCCCGTCGATTTGAAGTGCGTGTAAATAAAGCAGAACTTGAGAAGCGATTAATAGAATTAAGTTACGACTGTTTTCGAATTATAGTAAAATTTCAATTACCCATTCTCGTTTTAAACGAAATTATATCGTACATTGACACTGCAGATTTACATCGATTTGTAATCGCTTCACCAATTAAATCAAAAACGAAGAAAGCGGTGCAATTTCATTGTTCCGAATAGACCAATGCATATATTTCGAACAGTTTACATTTGATGTAATTTACAAAATTTATAAATCAGTTTATGTACTGAAATTTTCTAATTTATGACAATATAGATTTAAAATAATTATTGTACTTTGTAACAAACATTAAAATACATTAATATCTTAAGTTAGAATAGTAAAAATGTAACCAATGTAAAAATTAACTGGGTTATTTGTACCTGAAAAGTTAGAGCATATAAAAAAGGAACGTAAAATTTAACAATTTTATAAATTCTATAATAAAAATAAAAAACATTCAATCGTTAAAGTCGTTGAGTAAACTTATTAGATTTTCTTGCAATTGTTAAAAGTGTCTCATAAATTATAACAAAAAAACATAAAACAATGTACAATTAAACAATTTATGAATAATGTTCGATAAATTAGAACACAAAAAAATTCAATTATTAAAGTTGTACAAAATAAACTCATTTTAATTTAAGCAATGTACAATTAAACATGTCATCAGTTAATTAAAATTGAACTATTGTACAATGAAAAATTTATCAGACCTGCCAAATGGCATAAAAAAATTAATATTAAACTATTTTTGTACTTACCCACACAGCACCGAAACTTTCCTAAAAATTTATTAAAGATTTACTTGCAAACTTCGAAGTATTTACTTGAAAAGTTTAGTGAAAATTCTGTAAAGATTTAAATATCCCACTTCAATAAATGTTTATCCTGAAACTTTCCTGAAAATTTAAAAAAAAATTTCGCCTACTGTAAATAGGCGAAAATTTAATTTAAATTTTCAGGAAAATTTTAAGTTACATTTTCGCTTATAAGAGAGAAGTGGAAAATTTAATTTAGATTTTCAGGAAAGTTTTAAGTTAAATTTTTAGGAAAATTTGACGATAAACATTTATTTAAGTGGGACATTTAAATCTTTACACAATTTTTACTAAACTTTGCAAGTAAATTTTTCGAAGTTTGCAAGTAAATCTTTAATAAATTTTCAGGAAAGTTTCGGTGTTGTGTGGGCAAAAACCGCGCTGTTTCGGACAAATTTCGTATTAGTCCGAAATCAATCAGAATTTTTAACCAGGGTTGGTAAGTATGCAAACAGTATTTGAATGTTCTCTAGAAAGCGAATTTACTCGAAGAGCTCGAAAATATTCAAGTACTCGACATTTTTCTAGTTTTTTATACAGCTCGACGCGGCTCGAAAATACTCGATCGAGTTTCGAGCCTTTTGCACACGTCTAGTATTTTTTGAATAATTGACTTTTTTCACAAGGCTTAAAATTGAATTTTTTTTTAAATAATTGAATGTCAGGTCTTAAATGAAATTTTTTTTAAATAATTAATTCTGGAAAAGTTGCAGATACAAGTTTTGTAATTAATCAAATTTGTACAAGGTTTTAAATGCTATTATTATAAATTAATGAACTTTCACAAGGTTTAAGATTGAATTTTTTAAAAACATTTTAATTATAACAGATTTTAAATTGAATTTTTTAAAAATAGCACATATCATTTTTTTAGTTCATCAAGGTGAACACGTTACGGTAGGTCCGATTTAAAGTAATTTTTTACTCTTACACAGTTATTTAATTTTAAATTGATTTGTTACATTGATATTATAAATAATGAAAAACTTATTTATAATTAAATAAGTTGGATAATTATGAAATTTCAGAATTCTAGAAGGAGAAAAAGATTCTTTTGTTCCAAGATATATGATATGGTCCAAATATTCTTATTCAGAAATGGTAAATATAATTGAATGAAGAGATATACTGACGTTTGCGTAAAATGCTTTTTCTTGGAAGAGCCGTGCGGCACGCAGCACACAACATACAAAATTGAATCTGAAACTAAATAAAAGATTTTTTTATCTACATGATAATAGCTAGATAAATACGTAAGGGATTTAAAAAATATTGATTTTTGTGTAATTGGCAAGCATTTGAAAAAAACCTCATTTTTTGATCAAAAAAGGCACTCAAATGTTTATAACTTGTTTAAATTAATTTATCGAAAAGCCCCTAAGTGTTTCTTTTTTGAAATGTTATTATCCCAACAAAAACATCTTTGATGCAAAAATTTCCGCCAAGAAAAAATGTTGCAAATGTCCAAATAATTATTAGTGAAATAAAAGTTAACCAAGTAAAATTTGTAATCAAAGTTTTTGGTTCAATATAATTGTAACAAATATAGAATTTAATTTAATGATTAACATAATCAGTTAATGAATTCCAATTATTAGTCTTAATAAAAAATTTCTATTTGAAACAATTTTAAAATCTTGGCGTCAATAATGTTTCTAACTTGTACATAATTAAATTATTGACGTCAAGATCTTAAAATTGTTTCAAATAGAAATTTTTTATTAAGACTAATAATTGGATTTCATTAACTGATTATGTTAATCTTTAAATTGAATTATAGATTTGTTACAATTATTGAACCAAAAACTTTTATTACAAATTTTACTTGGTAAACTTTTATTTCACTAATAATTATTTGGACATTTGCAAAATTTTTACTTGGCGGAAATTTTTGCATCAAAGATGTTTTTGTTGGGATTGAAATACTTTTCGCATCATTTATAAAATTGACATTTAGACAAACATAGGGACTAAAGTACTTAACAAATTTGAAAAATATTCTAGAATATTATTGATTGGGGTAGAATCTTGATATTTATTGCAGAAAATATGAATATATTTAGAAGTTTAGTCTCTGCGTTTGTCTAAATGTTAAAAAATTTTATTTTTTTTAGAAAGAAAAATATATTTCAAAAAATACGAAATGTATTAAAATTTCCTGAAATGTATATCGAGATTTTAACCTAATTAATATAATAATCTAGAATATTTTAGAAATCCATTTAGGAGTTTACGCTCCACGTTTATCAAAATCTCAAAAAATCGATATTTTTTCGGTTTTCCTAGCTTAAATTCTATAAAAATATCAAAAGTATTAATATAAACTTGACAGAATTGAAATAAATTAAAAAGAATTCACAAAGAGTTTCAGTGAATCCCGCTTTGTGACAAATACGAATTGGAGCTATGTTGCAATTTTCCTGAATTCATCAAACTGTATTGAACTTCCAAACCTTCTATTCATACTAATTCAATGGACAAGTTTTGGGACCTTTAATTTTTTTTAATTCGTCAGCACGAATTCAATGCATGCCTTGGTCATTTCTTACGAATGCGAATTCGTTTGCACAACTTCAGGCAAATTGAATCGAATATACAAAGAGCTTGAATGAATCCCGCTTTCTACCAAAAATCTTAATTCATTTCAATCCGTTCGAATTAGTTTTTTTTTGGTGTATATATACATCAAAAAAAGAATAAGCCAAATCGGTTAAGATTTACTCGAGTTATTCAATTTTATCGAAAAATAGCCGATATTTCGAGAATATTTATTCGCGGTTTTTGCCTTTTACTTGGCGGCGATTCTCTACCGCGAATCTTGATAAAGATGTAAGAAAAAATCCGATTAAAAATAATGAAACTTGTTTCACTTATGCTGCGTGTTGATTTCAAGAAACGTGTTTTAAGAAAAACGCGTTTGAAGTTTAGAGATCTTAGAGATATATAAAACATACTTATGAAAAAGTGGAAAGTTTTACTGTCAAAATTTTTTTACAATTAATCTACAATTCCATTAGCATAAAGACATAATTCAGTATTTGTATCATCATCTGCGAGCAGTTCCTGCCAGCAGGTAGCCATCCGACGCAAATAGTCGTTGCGGAGCAGTCCAGGGCGCGCTCAGTAAAAGGATTTGAAATTCGTCCGCGTCAAATGGATCAAGATTTTTTTGATGGAATGGGATTTGGCTATAAATTGGCTTAAATAATATTACTATAGTGACATAAATTAACACCAAGTATTTTTTCAAAATTTTTAAAAATGGTGGAGATACGGGACTTTTTAATTTTAAGCAACATTTTTTTTGAAACGCTATAACTTGAGTTCTAAGTATTCGACTTGTATTTTCAAAGTCGCTAATGATTTGTTTCTAGATATACTATTAAAAAAATTAAAAAATAAAAAAAAATTTTTTTGAAAATTTTGGAGGTAAAATTTTTTTTTGATTTTCGTTTTTGAAAAAACATCATTTTTAATTTTCTTAATTTTTTGTCAAAAGAAGCTATAAGTATAATTTACAAGTCCTGCAAGCCTTATCGTGGGACCGCCAGTAGTTTCGGAGAAAAAAAATAAAATGTGGCCTTATCCCTTAACTGTTTTTTTACATACAATTTTTAAATAAATAAATAAATAATAAATTATTTATTTAATAATTTATTTATAAAAAATAGTTTTAAATTGAATTTTTTAAAATAGAACATATACCATTTTCTTAGTTTCTCAAGATAAACACGTTAGGATAGGTCCAATTTAAAGTAATTTTTTTACTGTCAAACACTGTTAATTTTTAATTTATTTATTACATTCCTTTGCACTACCAACATTATAAAATTCTTATAATTAAATAAGTTCGAAAATTATTAATTTTCAGAATTGAAGAAGGAGAAAAAGATTTTTTTGATCCAAAATATATGTTATGGTCCATATTCAATAATTGAATGAAAAGAAATATTAAGTACAAAAATAATTTAATATTAATTTTTTTGTTATTTAGCAGAGGTACATTACTTAAATTTTAATCAATTCCTTCTTTGCGATTTCGATACCGAATATGTATAAAATTTGTAAATTTGATAAAATTGTTAAGATTTACGTTGCTTTTTTAAATGCTTTAACTTATAAGGTGCAAATATCACAGTTAATTTGTACGTTCGTTACATTTTTATTACTCTAACTTAAAGAACTTTATGTATTTCACTGTTTGTTACAATTAACAATAATTATTTTAAATCTATAATATTGTCATAAATTGTAAATACCAGTACATAAACTGATTTCTAAATTTTTTAAATTACATCAAATGTAAACTGTTCGAAATAAATGCATTGTTCTTGATTCGAAAATAAGAAATGTGAATTAAACTTTAAGTCTATTCGGAACAATGGAAATGCACAGTTTTTTTCATTTCTGATTTAATTGGTGAAGCGATTACAAATCGATGTAAATCTGCAGTGTCAATGTACGATATAATTTCGTTTAAAACGAGAATGGGTAATTGAAATTTTACTATAGTTCGAAAACAGTCGTAACTTAATTCTATTAATCGCTTCTCAAGTTCTGCTTTATTTACACGCACTTCAAATCGACGGGCAAAATTCGGAAATGAAGTTTTAAAATCAAATGAATTTATAAAGTCGAGAAAATTTTCATTTCGCATTAAAGTAGAAAGTCGTCTATGTGACATAGTTAGGGCATCGTACATTGTCACATCAGTCTCACTAATTTTTGTTTTTTTCATTTCTTCAAGTTCGTTGGGGCATTTAGAATAATTGCGATCTAAGATTAAATTTACGCTGTGATCACATGACAAATCAATTATTTCATCGTATTCAGATTGAGATCTTAAATAATCAAATATTGGTTCCATTTCCCCTGGAAGGCAAGTTGCACCATAATGCAGAAGTAGTTTTGTAATATTTATAATTACATTCAAGGCAAAAGCATAGTAAAGTAGAGAGTGGTTTTCGGAATTAATACAATTAACGTTAGCGCCAGCTTCTAGAAGTAATTGAACGCATTCGAAACTATCCATATGAACTGCAATGCAAAGTGGGGTTTCATTTCTCTTACTGCAAGAATTAATATTGGCATTTTTTGTTAATAAAATTCTAGTAATTTCTACGAAATTGTGTTTCACTGATACATGAAGAGGTGAAAATTTCTTTCTGTCTCCAATTGCATTCACATTGGCACCACGTGCCAAAAGTTCGTTAATAATAGTAAAGCGTCCTTTTCCACAGGCATGATGCAATAGTGTGTAACCATCAATCAAATAAGTATTGAGGTTACAAACATTGGGTAAGAAATTGTAAAAAATATCAGTAAATCCGTATTTAATGGCACCAATTAATACGTAATATTCTAGAAATTCTTGCCTCATTTTTTCGTCACAGGATGTTTCCTCTTTATTTAAAAGATTTTGCACATTGTTTCTGTGTTCTATCATTCTTGAATGATCTAGAGAGACTAATGACAATTTCTCTGGAATAAGCATATTTTTTATATCTTCGGTGTTAAGCCTAAAACCATGATTATAAAATAATTCACAGATTAGCTTGTTATTACGCTTATCACTTCGGTCTTTAGGAATTTTAAGATCAGGTAATTTTTCATAATAGGAACCCAGAAAAGAAAGGCAAAAAGCCATTTTTAGAGTCATATCGCAATTATCTGGATTTTCACCCAGAAGAATTGTAGCACCAATCAAAGATAGATTTTCAACGGCGTAATTCAAAGGAATTAGGCCATATTTATTTTTAGCAGTTAAATTAGCACCGTTATTTATGAGAAACTTTAGAAATTCGCCATCGTCTTCATTGGATAAATGTTTGGCTGCCAAATGTAGTGGAGTGTCATCTGAATAAGTGACAGTAGCATTAACGTCTGCACCAGCTCGTAAAAGAAGAAGTGAAATTTTTTTATGACGAATTTGGCTAGCAAGATGTAGAGGTTTTTCTTCGAGCATTGTCTCCGCATTCACGTCAGCTCCTCTAGACACTAGAAATTCAACAAGATCACAACTCTTACATTCCACCGCTCTATGTAACGCTGTATAATAATTAGAATCTGTTTTCTCAATATCCTCATCATTATCAAAAAGCATCTTTATTTCATGCTGTGATAAAATACGCCTAATTCTATCATTAAGCGCCTCATGATAAGGTGTATTGTTAACCTTATTAAAAATTTTCAAATCAGCTCCATTTTCAAGTAAAAGTTGAATAATACTTTCAGAATGATTATTCAAATCTGTAACAGCAATATGTAGAGGTGTATTTAACTTCTGATTTGTTGCATTAACAATAGCTCCTTTGTCCAGCAAAATTTTGACGATTTCCACATTTCCAATTTCGACTGCGAAATGAAGTGGAGTCTGATCGTGATCTCGAGTTTCGTCATTTACTTTGACAGGACGTTGCAAAAGAAGTTTTGAAATTTCGAGAAAATTGTCTAAAAGTTGATCGTACACTTCGTATTCTGCTTGTAATTCGTTACGACGTTGTGGTGAATAAATAGAATTTTGAAGCATACTACAAAGTAGTGAATAACCAGAAGATGATGCGAGGTAATCATCAAAATTGTTTCGAGAAAGAATATTTCTTACTGTCGACTCATCACCAGAGAAACATGCATTAAGTAAAGACTGAATTTCTATCGACGACATTGTCACTTTATTCCTTGAGATTTATTTTAGATTATTGAATTGGATCAAACTTGTTGACATCGAAATTGAGAAAATCTGTAAACAAAGAGTTTGTTAATTTCACTGGAAAATCATTAAGGGGTTACATGGGTCAAAACTTCCAGACAATGTATTTTCAAATCATTCCACCGACAAAAAACAATCGCAAGGAGAGCGATTTTCTAATAAATATAATTATTAAAAAATTTAATTATTGTGCGATTCCATGGGAGATTTTAGTTTTTTCGGAGTAAGTAAACCAATTGCAATGAAATTTTGGAATTTAAATCTACACATAAAAAGACATATTTCCACCAAATATTACGTCAAAATATTCAGTAGTTTTTGAGATGTCAAAATTTTGGAAAAATTTTGAAATCGTTATATCTTCTTTCCATCTTAACCAAATCACTTAATTTTTTTTGGAGAAAATTCAGCATAAAAAAACGAAAAAGTTTTTTATATTATGTTTATACAAAATTTTTATAAACAAAAAAGTTATTAAATAATAATTGAATAACTTTTGAATAGCTTCAGTGAATAACTTTTGAATAGCTTCACTGAAGCTATTTAAAAGTTATTCAATTATTATTTAATAACTTTTTTGTTTATAAAAATTTTGTATAAACATAATATAAAAAACTTTTTCGTTTTTTTATGCTGAATTTTCTCCAAAAAAAATTAAGTGATTTGGTTAAGATGGAAAGAAGATATAACGATTTCAAAATTTTTCCAAAATTTTGACATCTCAAAAACTACTGAATATTTTGACGTAATATTTGGTGGAAATATGTCTTTTTATGTGTAGATTTAAATTCCAAAATTTCATTGCAATTGGTTTACTTACTCCGAAAAAACTAAAATCTCCCATGGAATCGCACTATTTGTAACATATTATACACTGAATCAAAAGAGAATTTCATGAACTTTATAATGCTATTTTTATTTTTTTAAATTTTTCTCAATTTCGTAGAGAAATTCCTGTTTGAAAGTTTAAACTCTTAATATCTCAAAACACCCCACCGTCGATTTTTATCAAAATTATATGAAAATAAAGCTTAACTTTTCTAGTTTCCATTCCCGTATAATATATTATGGACATTTAATGGGATTAATAGAAAAAAAATTGTTTAAAAAATATGTTTTTGAAAAATTTGACAAATGGTACGAACACACGGAGAGAAAAAACAAGGCTTTTCCCTGTGACTTCAATTCATGCCTTTTTCAGGTAGGAGTTTCACCGGATTTCCCGATGAACTTCTTGCGTTTAGCGGTTAGGCCATGCCTTAGCCCCTATTGGCCTTAGCTCGTTGCAAGAATCTCACCGGGAAAACCCGTGAGCGTCCTGCATTTTTACTGTGATAATTTTCACGCGTTAAATGCATATTTTTTCATGGGGAAAAGCCTTGTTTTTTCTCTCCGTGCATGAAGTAGTATAAGGAGACCCAACGCCAATGGTTATAGTGACAAAAATTAGCATCATTTTGGGGGATCAGAGTTACTATGAGAAAATATAATCTGCACAACGTTCAGAGGCAGCGCGCTCATGCGGAGAAAATGTAAAGTACAGAATAAGTTTTAAAAATGTACGGTTTATATTTTGATGAAGATCGTATACACGTGGTTCAAATTTTGTTTATCGTGTTGTGATCGTGTTATGACTCAAAATGCCTACAAATTGTGTAATAAATAATTGTAATTCGGGTAGTCGTGAGCAAATTAAATCGCAAGTATATCGAAGTTTTTTTTCACCACAAACGGTATGTTGTAAACTTTTGACATAAAATATTTTTATTCTAGTGTAAAAGTAATTAATTGTTTTGTAAGTAAATAAACAAAAATTAAGATAATATAATTTATATTTTTTGTCTGTAGGATGAAATATTACGTATTTGGTCTGATGCCGTTGCATCATATACGACAAAACCATTGACGAAAAATAAAAAAATTTGCGATTTGCATTTTCGAGATGAAGACATTGAAAGAGATTTTGTTACAAAATTAAAAGATGGCACAATTCATAGAATACCACGAAAAAAACCATTGCTAAAACCACATGCTGTGCCAGTTTTTTTCCCAAATATTTCAATTCAACTTTTAAAAAGTCAACAAATTTCATACGGCTGGAAAGACCTTTTATTAGAATGTAATGGTAGTGAAAACCAGAAGTACCACATTATTAAAAAGCATTGCGACCTTGTGCCTTTACCGTCTAAATTATGGACTGTATATAATTGTGCGGAAAATTTCATTGCTTGGATTGGAATTTGTGAGGATGAAGCTCACACTACAAAGCGAGTAATATTACTACCAGACATGAGAGTGCAAGTAAGTTTCTTAGATTTTATAATTGGCGAAAAGGAAGTGCAAGTTCCACGTGAAGCAATTTCTAATGTGGACGAAATTCCGAAGTTACTTGAAGTAACTTCGAAATTGTTACCTTGTCAAACAGAATGCACTGAAAGGTACGTAATAAAAATGATTTCAAACTATGTGAATAAGTAATGATAAATTATTGTTTTAGGTCAAAAAAATGTATGGGTTAGGTTTTTGCCAAATCAATAAGAACTCGTGGTCCTCAAAGAAAATTTTGCTCGGAGTGTCAAAAATTTAAAGTGAAAAAAAGCAAACAAAAATGGAAGCAAAAGAAGCAAAAAACAAAAAGGAAAGTCCTAAAGAAAAAGATGAGGGAAAAATACGTTGGTCTTAAGCGAAAAAATTCAACATTGAAACGAAAGGTAAAATAAAGTCAAATATAAAAATTTAACTATTATTATAAAAAAATACATTATCTTAGGGAGGTAATTAGAATTTGTTTTCCAAGTTTCTTGACATATAATAAATTATTGTGATATGAAAAACAATATATTTTATTATTTGCATTTTAAAAATCCAACAGATTAAACGCCTTCAACTTAATGTTGAAAAACTTCGCCAGAAGTGTGCAATTTCAAAAGAAGATATTTTATGTGAATTATTGTCTACACTTCCAGAGAAACAACGAATTGCTGTTGAAGCATGTTTTTCAGCATCAAAGCACAAAAACAGTCGTAGTATGAGATACACTACGCAGTGGATTTACGAATGTCTACTGTTAAGAATTAAAAGTAAAAAATTATACAGACAGCTTAGACGCGATAAAATTTTAACTTTGCCCTCGCTAACAACTTTAGCACGATATTTGAAGAATATAAAGGCTTCCTATGGTTTTCAGGATTATATATTTAAAGGCTTATCTGCAAAAACTGCATCCATGCCGCCAGATTGTCGAAGAGGTTTCTATTAAATATTTAGTTATATATAAATTTCTTTTCTGTAATGTATAAAAATATATAAGTGAAATTTTATTAATATTGTTTATATTTAAATATAGGAATATTTGCAGTAGATGAAATAAAATTATCCGAATGCTTATCGTTCGATCGGGTCAATTTAAAGGTCGAAGGCTTTACCGATTTAGGGAAACACACTCCGGAACACCAAAAAACATTAAGAGGCGACCATGCTCTTGTAATAATGTTTCAACCATTTCGTGGTAATTTTGTTCAAACTGTTGGTTGCTTTTTAATCAAAGGCAGTGCTAATGGTAGTGTATTGCACAAAATTATTTTGGAGGGGATAATTCTTGCCGAAAAATCAGGTCTTTTTATTGATGCAGTCGTAACGGATGGTGCTGCGTGGAATAGAAATATGTGGAAAATGTTTGGGGTTTCAGAATCGAAAATTAGCGTTTGTCATCCATGTGACAAAAAAAGAAAGCTTTGGTTTCTGTCAGATTATCCACATTTGGCAAAAATTTTCAGAAATTTTGTAACACAGTTCAAAAAATTTGATAAGATATTCGTAAGTTTATTTTTTATTTTATAATTTAAATGAATATTTTAAGAGTAACATTTCAAAACTTCAATATTGTAGACACCTGATGGATTTATATCGAAAAAACACTGGTATGCATTATTAGAAATGTTAGAGAAAGATCCTTATGCATTAAAAGTCAATTGGAAACTTCGAAAAGAGCACATTGATCCGAAGTATTACCAGAAAATGAATGTGGCTCTGGCGTTTCAGGTATATATTGAATATTTAGTTATAATATATTATGTATTGTTATAATCTTTATTTATTTCAATGAACTTATATCTCTAATTTTCAACAGTTCTTCAGCATACACGATGCTCTTGAAATTTATCAAGACCGTCATGAAGACTTGGAAGATTGTGTTGCGACGAAAAATTTTTGTAAACGAGTAAATCAGCTAAACAATGCTATGAACAGTCGCACACCTGCAAGTGCAATGGCAATTGGAAACGAAGCATGGACTGTTAGTAATATTTTACGAATTTTTTTTTTAAAGAACTTTTTACATTTATTTCATATATATTTAATTTTTTTAACAGATTGTTAAAAATTTCCTCGAATACCTTAAAAACTGGGAAAAAGAAGCTAAAGTCAAAAATGAGAAATTTTTGACAGACAATTGCTGTTACGGATTAAAAATTTCTTTACAAGCAACATTGGAAATTTGTGAATTTTTAAGCGAGAAATGTAATTTTACATATCTTATGACAGGTCGGCTTAACCAGGATTGCGTCGAGGTATTAAAAAAATCTTATTATTAACTAAAAATAAAATCGTTGCCAACATTTTACTAAATTAATTTTTCAGAGATTCTTTGGGTTGATGAGGGAATGTTGCGGGGCCAACGATCACCCAGATGCAGTGTTATTTATACAAATGTATAAACTTGTGTCTACGTACTCGTTAATTAAACCTCCAAAAGGGTGTAACGTTGAAGGTAGTGAAATTTTGGAAACCTTATTAAGTTTGAAGGAAATTGAAGATGTCAGTACTAGACAGGAACAATGGGAAGGTATAATTGACACTATTATTGATAGAGGCAATGGAAGTCATTGTTTGGAACAAGCGACACAAATTCTACTTGAGCATGATTACACAATGTCCATTGCTTCGGAGTACGCTTTAACTTACGTTGCAGGATACGTAAGCAGGAAAGGGTCTCGTTTTGCCAAATTTTTAGAGAATAATAAGCCTTTCCAATGCCAAACTTGTGTTGACAGTTTAATCTTATTGGAAAATGATGTGATTCCTGAGAGGCACAAATTAATTGAACTTAGATCAAAAGGTTACTTGAAACACCCGTCGGTGAAGTTATATGACTTAATTTCATTACTTGAATTGTCTATTTTACAAACTCTCAAGGATGATGGCATTCAAGAAAACACTCTTTTAAAAATTGCCGAGACTTTAGAAAAGTTTGAATTTCCTATCACTTTTGTTGGATGCAGTGAACATGAGATGCTGTTAACCAGAAGAATAATAATTTTTTATTTGACAATAAGAATGCTGTTTGTATGCAAAGAATACAATAAAATTAATAACGAGGTAAAAGAAAAAAGTAGACAAAAGCGAAAAGAAGCAAAACTGACAGCTAAATCACGTGCAAGTACAGCAACTGTTGACGCATCAAAAAATAATTGTTGTGATTTGGATCAACAGAACGGAATTTTAAATTGTCCAACCACTGCAAAAAAACATAAAATAACGGCAAAAAATGGTGCCACTTCTGTAAAGAAACGTAAAGCAAATAGCAGTAAGAATAAAAGTTTAAACATTTTTAGGAATTCTTTTGGACAGTAACATTTATTATAATTAGTTTTATGAAATATTAACTAAAAGAAAATATGTTAGAAGTGTAAAAAAAATGTTGCTGCTTTTATGTTTGTCAAAAAGTATTATGCTTCACCAAAGAAATAACATTCTAAAAAATTCGAAAATTTTTGTATTTTTACAGATATTTTCTCTTTCTTTGAGTATTACCTTATAAATAATAAATCGTTGGAAAAAGTCTCCACCTCCATAAAAGTCGATGTGGAAAATATAATTTCCAAATAAAATATATCATTTATTTATTTAGTACAGAAAAACCAAGTATTTATTTATGTGGAAATATTGTATTTCATAGTTATTGTTACATTTATAAGTACAAGAAAAATATAATTCACATTTCATTCATATACATTGCAATTTATTTGTATTATTAAATGTGACGTATACAAAAAAAGTATCATATTGAATTTAAAATGGAAATATTTTATTATTTTTTAATTCCCTATAATACAAATTTTACTTTTCAATTTTTACTAACTGTTGAGTAATTTTATTATAAAAATTACTAATCATAAAATTTTATTTAATTAATTTATAAAAATTGTTAGTAAATTTAATTGTGAATCTAATCATTTGATATCATTTCATTTAATTAAATCATAAAAAATGTCATTAAAATAATGTACTGAAATAAAAATAAAGAGTTAGTAGAAAACACAAAGATAGCCTATTAAAAAAATTTAATATTCTGTTAAAAAAAAAGATTTTAATTTGAAATATATTTTTTAAAATTATTAAATTTTTTTAAACATTACATTTGTGCTTTTAACTTAATCTGTATAAACAATAAAAGAAAAAAAATTTTAATTTAATCATCAGTAAAACTTTCAATTTGATCTGCATTAAAAACTTGTAAAAATAATTTTATTTAATTCATTTTAAAAAATGTTATTAAACAAAACTAAATTAGGGATCTAATAATCCCTAAAAAAAATTTTATCTCTATTCCATTTCATCAACAATATGCAATAATTTATGAATTTCTTCTTCACTTTGTATTGTTATGAAACTCGAAAGCGGAGTAAGTTTTTCATGGAAAAATAGTTTCACTTCTAAATTTTTTAAAACAACAACCTTTGATTTCTTTGCAAATTAGCATCATCTCCCATTTTCACAAAGGCAAAGAAATTTTCACATCCACGAATTATACACCAATACTTTGAAGGCAATTTGAAAGACTCCAAATTTTGCTGACATTTCTCAAATGTAAAGTCCTTTTCTGTCATGACTTCTGTAAAACCATTAATCAAGTTCTTATAAATAAATAACAAAAAGATATATTGTAAGATATGTTTATTTTAATATATTGTACAATTTAATTTCATTCATGTACTTACCTAAAAATAATTTCTGAAATTGTATTTCTTGTAATTTAACTTAAATAGATATATTTTTTAATAATCTTTTTGCATTAATATCTTTTTTATGCCACACATTTTGAAATTACACTAAAACTTTGTTAACTCTGGTTCCCCTTCAAAAAGCGTATAAATCTTTCGCTAAAGTGACCATATGGAAATAGTGTCAATGCGGGACGCCCGCTTATTTAAATATGATTTAGTAAAAAAAAAAGGTTATTTGTCACAAGAAAAAAGAATCAGGGAATTTGTAGGAGTCAATTGGAGCGGAATTGAAACAAAGGCGCATCTTATGACATTTACATATTTATATTATGCTTATTTTGTAACATTAAATCACATATTTTTTTAACGATCGAATTTTTCTTAAAATATCACGAAGTCTATCTCTCTCACACTTATATACGCTACTGTGCTAATCTGTAGATGCAGGATATTCTTAACTATTTTCCGGGATATGCAGGACATTTTATGTCAAATGCGGGACGTTTTGCGGGACG